CATATCGCCGACAGTATTATGATTTTTTGACATATTTTCGCCGAGATCATGTCGCCGACGAACTTTGGGTTTTTTGGGAAACAATCGCCGAAACATTATTCTGGATTTTCAACATGCTGGTCAAAACACTTTGGACTCTGGTTTTAACTACGTTGGACAATATTGGATGCCCTACATCGTTTTCGAGAAGTACCTCATATGGCTCCTTTATTAATCTAACGATCTAGGCTGGTTTGCATGTTTCAGGATTCAGTTCCTGCCGGATCATATAATGATCCATTCTTGTCTAGTGTGTGTGTATGTGTGTGTGTATGTGTGTGTGTGTGCGTGTGTGTTTGTGTGTGTGTGCGCGCGTGTGTGTTTGTGGGTGGGTGGGTGGGTGGGTGGGTGGGTGTGTGTGTTTGTGTGTTTGTGTGTGTGTGTTGAAGACGGTGTTGAGCAACTGCGGCACGTGCACGACGAAGACGAAGAGGTACCTGGCAGCCACATGTGTGGAAGAGACATGGGAGGAGACAAACAGAAGTATCAACATACGCGGTTGGAAACTGAGCCTTGGCCCCAAGCACACAAGGTCCCGTCATCCCGCACCCCCGGCCAACGAGGTGACAGACGGCATTACGTCGATCTGCTTGGTACAGGAGCAACAGCAAAGACATGCGCAACCGGCAACAGGTGGCATCGAACACACAAAACTGTTGTGCAATCTAGTTGCCTTTTCACGCGACGTGTCAAGGCTTCCGCCTCAAATATAAGTGCTGAAAGTGTTGATTCCTACTATGCAGCATGACCAGGTGCTGGCCATGAGCCACAAACAGCATGAAAAATAGACATGTGCAAGAAAAGGCATTTGCGTATGACAACGGTGCATGACTTGGAAACTTTGTGAAGGCCTCCCAAGCGACGCAGTGGAGAGCAGGGCGGAACGTTCGGCAGTCGCAAGGACGCGAACTGACCGGCCAGTGCCTCGGTGTATGCCCAGCAAGGCGCATTAGCCCATGGCCCTTGCTGTCATACTCCGTTGGAAACCGAGCGTTAGCACAAGCACACAAAACCGCGTCATCCCTGGACGTCACCAAGTGCAACCCCTGCCACACAAAGTGCACGTCGATGACACCAAGTACAACGCCTGCCACGCCAAATAACACTGCATGTTACCAAGTAGGGGTGGCACAAAAGCCGATGAAGTGCCACGCCTGCCACGCACAGTGAATGTCGATGTCACCAAGTGCCACGCCTGCCACACAAACAGCTGCAACGTCCACCGGGGGCAAACGGGACCCAAGCGCGCCACCAGAGCCAACCCAGTGCCATACGTGCCACGCCTGCAACACAAAGTGAAGGTCGATGTCCCCAAGTGCCACGCCTGCCACACAAACAGCTGGGGCGACAACGCGGCAAACGAGAACCAAGCGCGCCACCAGAGCCAACCCAGTGCCATACGTGCCACGCCTGCCAAGCAAAGTGACGGTGGATGTCGCCAGGTGCCACGCCTGCCAAGCAAAGTGAAGGTGGATGTCGCCAAGTGCCACGCCTGCCACACAAACAGCCGTGGCGACAGCGGGACCCAAGCGCACCACCAGAGCCAGCCCTGTGCCATAAGTGCCACGCTGCCTGGTTGCCAGTTGCACTGTCAACAAGTTCACACTTCTGAGAGATTCGTCTCCGGATCTAATCCCGCACCGAGCGCCCGGCTGGCCCTTTCCACTGCCTTACATTCAAACACGCCAATGCATGCCCGTGCACATGATTCAGGACAAACATCAGATGATTTAAAGGGGATCTTAGCCACCTTGAACCGCCAAGGAATGGGGCGCCGTGTCAATATTGGTTTCCATGTCTCTCCTACATGGGTCATTGTTGGACGGATCTCTGTCATTGCCATCACCTGGGGCCACCAGCCGTGCTTGTTGGCAATGGCACCGGCATCGCACCAGCAGGCGTCCCCAATCCCACCAGTTTCAGCGGTTTAGCCACCAACATAAAATACTGAGACCAAAGCAGTTGCGTTCCAACTTTGGGGCCATCCATCCCAACCAACCGCCCTTGGCAGACCAGCCTTGGCGTGGCCTCCAACCCAGGCGGCGCGGCCACCAACCCAGGCGGCGCGGCCACCAACCTAAACAGCTGTCACCTCACAAGCAAAACGCCATGTCAGGCCTTCTCACGACCAAAGCAACAGCATGAAGAGCCGATGGCGCCCAACAACGGATAGGTGGGGCAGTGCGACGTTGATCTTCTTGATCCACACTTTACGGCAAGTCGACAATCTCCTCTGTGCCATTCCCGTGTGAACTCGAATCGAGACTTGCAAAGCAAAGGAAAAAGACGGAGGACTTGCAATGCAGTGGCAGAATACACACTTGCAACATCATGGAATCTACATGGTACCAGATGTCAATGATTTGAGGCTTTCATCTTGGTTTGCAATTCAACTTGTCTACCTTCTTTTGCAGGACTGCATGCATTGATCAAATTACATTGTGATATTAAAAGATTTCAAGCACCATGACATGATGCGATAAAATCATGATATGTTTCAAAACATTCTTCATACATGACATTCCGGATGCTGGTGCATCACGTTTGGTAACTTTGTTTGATTTTTTTCCGACACCTGAGAATCAAGCATTGCTGTCAAGGACTGAGACTGTGGGCGGTGGGCTCCTCAGGGCCTGAGGACCAAGAGCTCACGTGAGATGATGTCATTTTAAGATTCGACTCATCGCGTGGTAACAACCTGGTTTTGGAAGAAACTAAGAATGAGGTTCTATTTGCACACTCTTCAAGCAATGGGGCGCCAAACTGGTGTTCGAGATTCAGCAAACAAGAAGACCCACACCATGTTTTATGAAAGATAAAAAGTACCTGTGATGTGGGTAGCAAAGAATGTGCCGGACTACAAGCTCAGCGTTTGTCAGAAAGAACTCGCAGATTCCTGAGCGGCCAACGATTTCTGGTAGATCCACGGCTTTTCGGTTTGCCCAGCGTCAGGCTGTCGATACATCTTGGCCTGCAACAAGGTGGTTGCCAGGCAGAGGGGTGGCAAGTTCTGTGGCTGAGTTCAGTGATCGAAAAATCATGCGGATGTCAATCTCATTGAATTCAATTGAAACCCGCTAAAACTTCTTGAAGTTAGTAAAGCATCATTGGAACCCGGGTCTTTGCATGACATCATCGAGATCCATATCTCCAAGAAAGTGGCTAGCGCTGACATGTTCGTATGCAAAAAGTTACCTGTTTCATCTCTGACTGCAGCCAAGGCTTCCCGATCGAATTCATCGGGCATGTGGATTTACGGTCTTTGTATTTAATGCATCTTCTTTCTTCTGACTCTCATCTCTCCTGACTCTTCGCGCTGCTCAAACTTGATTTGTCAGTAAGTCGGAAATTAGACTTCTAAACTTCCATCGAAAATTCTTCTGCTCTTAGAAGTTCCATTTCAGCTTCAGAAGATCTTTGTTCCTGCCACGCGAGCTGAGCGATGCTGATGATGTATTTAATCGACTTCTAATCTTGAGCGGCCCCCGTGAAAACAAACGAAAGCAACATCTTTTGAACGGAGGAAGTTCGCTAAATCCTATTCTACCAAGATTTAAACAAATTGTCGCAGATCATTTCTTGTTGCAATATCTTCAGTTATTGATCTTGTTAATTTTTGAACTGCTTGACGTCCATAATTTCTTGCAGCTTGTGTCACTAGAGCTTTACCAACACTGCGAAGAAGTCCAAACATGAGTCATGCTATTCTAAAAAACCGTTTCTCAAAATACTATCTGCAAAAAGGATTAATGCATATCATATCTATTTAAGAAAGAGTGTCTCTCAATTCCTACGAGTCCAAATAGCACAGCTAATACATATTTCGAAACTGATACAGTATGTCTTGGGACTGCTAAATCGGATACCATTGCCACAGCAACAAATACTGAATTGATTTGTTTTGCTGCATGGTTGATGACAACACTGCAATACAAGCGGAAAATAAAACGTCTGAGCAAAGATGTTCTGAAAATAGATTGCAGATTCAGACCAATCGTATCTCGGGTTTCTTTGCACCTCTTGCTTGACCCCCGCCTTGTTTGCAAGTTGCTTCAACATGCATGAAACGCAAAATGCACTTTGATGTCGCCAAGTGCCACGCCTGCCATGCAAAGTGGAGGTCCATGTCGCCAAGTGCCACGCCTGCCACACAAACAGCCGCGGCGACAACGGCGCCAACCCAAGCGCGCCACCAGAGCCAACCCAGTGCCATACGTGCCACGCCTGCCATGCAAAGTGACGGTGGATGTCACCAAGCGCCATGCCTGCCACGTAAAGTGAAGGTGGATGTCACCAAGTGCCACACAAAGTGAAGGTCGATGTCACCAAGTGCCACGCCTGCCACGCCAAGCTGTGTGTGAGAGAGTTGTGTGTGTGTGTGAACAAATTGTGTGTGAGGGAGTTTTTTTTTGTTTGTGTGTGTGTGTAAATTGTGTGTGTGTGTGAGTAAGTTGTGTGTGTGAACAAGTTGTGTGTGAGCAAGTTGTGTGTGAGTGTGTGAGCAAGTTGTGCGTGAACAAGTTGTGTGTGAGCAAGTTGTGAGTAAGTTTAAGTTGTGTGAGTAAGTTTAAGTTGTGTGTGAATAAGCTGTGTGTGAATAAGTTGTGTGTGAATAAGTTGTGTGTGAGTAAGTTGTGTGTGAGTACGTTGTGTGTGTGAGTAAGTTGTGTGTGGGTAAGTTGTGTGTGAACAAGTTGTGTTAGAGAGTTGTGTGTGAGTAAGTTGTGTGTTGGAGATGGGGAGGAGGAGGCGGGAGGAGGAGGCAGGAGGAGGAGGCAGGAGGAGAGGCAGGCGGGCAACCAAAAACAAGAACCCCACACAAAGATGTGGGGAACAAAAAGCACACCACACATAAGGTATTTCCTGCTGATTCCTTGACGGTCTTCTTTTCCAAAATCCATGCATAACACATGCGTGGAACGGGATCGGGATTTCTGCCATTGCAATTCAGTCCAAGTATCGTTGTTTTGGTTTCCTCAGCCGCAATGGTGACCTTCTTTTCTTTGTTGGATGCCTCCACCGTTTTGCTTTCCACCTTGGAGGGCTTCTTCGTCAACGGTTTCCGCAAACTCACCTTGGGCTTCTTGGGCTCCTCCGGCGGGGCTTCTGGCGCGTCATTCGACGAATCCGAGTCAGAGCTGGGCGGATCCAGCGCCGCTGAAATTGTTCCAGGTGCAGCTGCAGTGCTTCGCACTTTCGGCGCTGGCTGCGGCACTTTCTGTGGCGTCGACCGCGTCGACTCGGGCAGCGCTTCCGGCTCGATCGCAGCAGGTGCCGGGCGCAGCGGGACGGCCTTGCCGGGAGCTCTTCGTGGTGGAGGCTTCACCTGAGCTAAGCCGTGAGAGGTTTCGAGATTTTGGGGACGTCCATGGAATGAATTGTGAAGGGATAAGTGAAACAGTAGAGTCTATGAACCACGTATGCATTCTGTGATTCTGTGATGATGAATTTTCCCAACTTGGCTAAATATAGCGTGTCTGGCTCATAGCTGCTGGTCGAAGAAGCGTACAACTTGATGGCCAATTTGGCATTCCCATTGTCTATACTGCGTATAGCTTTCCAACACCTTTCTATAGATGAAAACTACCGAAGTTGGGAAAACTATTCCAGTTACCATGGCTGAGCATATCACCATCACATCACTGGACCATTCTTGGGGTTAAACCGCAATCTGTTGGGGAGACATCCTTGCTGTTTGTAAACGGAATTCTTGGCCAGCTCAACGTCTCTGACCCACTCAACCATCGTTCTTTTCTTTTCAGTTGCTACTCCTATTGATAACAACCCCCTGAGATCCCGGAGGGTTCCTCATTATGATGCATCCCGATTCTTGCGGGCCAACCCCTTCAGTTTCTCTTCTTATTTGAAACCACATTTTCTGGGTGAAACTGCCATTTTCATCAATTTTCCAGGAAGCTGTGGGATGTACAGGGTGGTGCCACCCCCCGGCCGGTTATGAGTTGGTTTAGTTTCACCCCGTTAAACTATATAGTTACCATAATTATATCCCCCTAATCAACCCAACGCTGATTGGAGTCAGAAACCTAAACCTCACAGTTATATGTATAAACCCTAGTTCTGAATCCTAGCTAACTATAGTTCTACCGCATAACAAACCCAAGTTACTGGTATCCCACGTCCCCACCGGGTGGTTTCACCAAGTCACTGATGCCTCCTCCGGCGCATCCGCCCCGCTTTCGCTACCGTCGCTCTCTGGGGGCGCCGCCGGAGGATCCTCGTGCTGCGGCGCCGTCGGCACGGGGCGCTGCCAGAGGCAGCCCGGGGTCGGCCGTGGCCGGAACCCCACCGGAGCCAGGGTGGGTTGCCATCCCGAAGACACGGGGGACCCAAGCAACCTGGATGGTTTCCCCGGGCTGGAAGCAGCTGCTGGTGAAGTTGGGGAAAGTGTCGTTGGTGAAAGTTGGGAACTGGGGGACCAATTGAAAGAGCTGGGAGCACCGGGCAATGGAAGTTGCTCAGGGTAGCTGGGCTGCTCAGGGTAGCTGGGCTGCTCAGGGTAGCTGCGCACCGGGGGGCGAAAGCGGATGACTGCAGGGCTGCGGGGATTGGCACGGTCCATGGCGGTCAGCTGTCCATCTTGGATGTGTCTCTGACCACTAAGGCAAGTTGCAGGGTATGAGATCCTTCAATTCATTGCTCCATAAAAGTGGCAAACCAAACAAACCCATGGACCTACCAAACCAAGGTTTACCCAAAATTTGCCATCCAAAAACAAGGGCTTTGCGGGTAAGAGTTGAGTGGGATTATTCATCCAGTTTGAAGTAGCTCCGGGGTCCATTTGTCGGGGATGTAATATGTCGAACTTGGGAGCCGTTGGCTGAAGTCCATAAGTTATCATGTCATGGTACATGCATTGCAACTCTAAGCACGTCATGTCCTGTTGCACTGCTTGACCAAACCCCTTCCATTTGCAAATTCAGCTGCGGCCGGACTTGTTTTCTGCTTAATCAAACGCTGATTCTGCCCCCTAGTCCCCTAGTATTAAGTACCATATGCCTCCGAATATAACTAGATCAGGGGCCCCGTACTTGGATGGTAAAATCACCCTAGAAAATTGGTGAAACCTCTATTTCTGTTGCTTCACCAATCGGGTTTCACGAGCTGGTTTCACCAGTTGTTACAACTATCAAGAATCAACAGGTAGGGATAAACGACTATTTCACAACCAATCAACAGTGGCACTTTAATGGCTCATGCGGTTTCTCAGATTTTTCCGCCAACCCTCTATATCATTTTATCCAGAACACATGTATATGATGTGTATATATTATATAATATAAAATATATCACACATATATATATATTTATAATGAGCTAAATAAAAATATCACACATATAGACATACAGAAATACATACATAATATTACATTCTAATTATATTAAAAGATTATCTAATAATATATAATCTATTATCTCCATTTATTTTTGAAATACATGTATATATATATATATAGACAAGATATTTTTATATCACTTCTATCTATCCCCATTTAAATAAGTATAATACAAAAATACATAATATTACATTATATTACATTATACATACTATTATATATAATATTAAATATAAATGATAGGTAAAATTATTTAATGTATTATTTCCAGTCAATTAATCAATGGCCATTTCAGGAACCTAAATTGGAGGTACCTACCATATATAAGGCCTATGTAAGGCCAATTTTTCAGGCCTATGTAAGGGAATATCCCCACAAAATATGGCCAAAAAAATGGTACATTTACGTACCTCCATTTTATCCTGGAGATCTCTCATTGATTGGTTACTTAACTGATGATCAATGATGATGGTTAATAGTGGTTAATAGTGGTTAATAGTGATGGTTAATCGTGGTTAATAGGCTATAAACCAACAACAATGGGAATATTATGGGTTTTTTCATGAATTTTCCCATTGATGATCATGGGTTTATATATTTTTTATGGGTTTATAAGATGGTTAATAATGGTTAAAGGGCTATTCCCATTGAATTACCCTCTGGTAAACTAACATAACTATGGAAAATCACCATTTTTAATGGGAAAATCCACTATAAATGGTCATTTTCAATAGCTACGTTAAATTACCAGAGGGTACCATGATTTACCACCAATAGTCCAGGGGTCTATGTTAATTTACCAGAGGGTAATGGGCTATTCCCATTGAATTAATTAAAGGTTTCCCCTCCTGTCCGTTGTGAGTTCCCCACGTCAGCGGCGGCTCCGCACTGCTGGCCACGTCCACCGTGGGCTCCGCAAAGGCGCTGGACCTTGGAGCCAGGAGCGGCAGGAAAATGGCCCATTTATAGATGGTTTACCTATTAAAAATGGTGATTTTCCATGGCTATGTTTATTTACCAGAGGGTATATATATATGTATATATATATATATATAGATAGATATATAGATAATGGGAAACTAATAATATTGATAATCATGATAATAATGGTAATAATGATGGCAATAAATAATAACATATATAATAGTAATAATGATGATATGGTAATATTGAAATAATGGTAATATATATATATAATAACATACAATGTGGGGCCCCCTAGTTATAAGTTGGTCTATAACCCAATCTAACTATAGTTATAACTACCATAAACCCTAGTTATTGTAGAACCAACTGAACGCTATCTTGGGGGCCCCGCTTTTTATATATATATATATAGATAATATAATGGGAAACTAATAATATTGATAATCATGATAATAATGATAATTCTGATAATAATAGTGATAATAATAACATATATATATATATGAAAACCTCTGATAGAAATATATGAGATACTATCTATTATGATCTAGATTGTATGATATATATATATATATATCAGAGGTGTAATGATTCTATAGACATCTGGGTGTAATGATTCATATTTAATCTCATCTCAATCCAATCTAACCAAATCTAACCCAATCTAACCTAATCTATGTGCATCTCTCTCTATATATATATAAGGAATAATTAGCCATAATTACGTATATATATATATATGTATATGATACAGTTACATATATGTGTAAATCTAAAGATTCTATAAGATTCTAAACACATATTAATCGATCCATCGAAAATCACTGTTTCGACCCAACATTTCTTGCGGGCTCTCCTGAGTTTTATGACGACACGGCCGGGTCCGGTGCCTGGCGAGTCCGTGTCGTGGTGGAATCTATGGTGAGATCATGGGAAAATGGTGAGAAAATGGTGGGAAATCATGCCAGGAATCATAGATGTGGGAAAAAATCCATGATCCATAGATATTCATTGCATATTCACATGGTTTTTTTTGGGGCACCATCTATTCATGGTGGAAGAGCATTACAGCAAGTTCAATGGATTAATCGGCCTGACATGGGGAAGATTTGATTTAAGTATCTTCAACATATGCGAGTATGGCTTGTGTAACTGGACGTATGCACTTTGGAAAAATGGTGGTTCAACTCAGCAATATAGAGGTTTTTGTGAGGTCTCTTACTAGGTGTTTCTCCTCACAGAAGTGGTTTTATGCTTTACACAACAAGAAATGGGATCCCTGTATGATAGGTCCTCTACCAAAGAACTGTTACCGCCAGGGATGAAGACCGATTCTGCAGAATTTGAGTTGTTTCGCAGATTAAATCAAACCGCTTCTGCAAAAACTGATCGTCGTATGAAAATATGAAATTATGTGAGAGCGTGGCGATCATCTAATCATGAACCTTGATTAGTGGCTTGTGTGTTAGCTTGACTTCGCGATTTATTAAATTTAGCAGTTGCCAAACTCCGTCTTCTATACTAGCCACCATCAGACCTCATAGTATGGGATGCCGTATAGATATCAAACCACAAAGGGGTTTGTCCGCTGCTCTCTTACAAAGAACATGGAATTGTGCTTCAGGGATATATTGCGACAATACATGGCCAATAAAACCCCCTATATTCTGTAGGACAATTTTAAGAAGGAAATTGCGAAATATGAGACACCACCAACAATCATGGAGTACTTAAAGACATTTCGAGATATATCATGTAATGTTAGTAAAACAATAATGCACCAACAATATTTAGAGGGTTTATATCCACAAAAATGGTCAAATGGGTAGTGTTTTACTGCGTGTCCAGGGTTTCCACCTCAGCCAGTCAGTTTTTACCTTGTTGCAATGGCTCTTAGACTCCCGAACAAGTAAGTTCCTCAAGAAACCGCCATATTTTTTGATGATCAAAACCAATCCAGTCACATCCCTCTACAAGGTGCTGCCCAGTTGTATTGAACCCAATTAAATAGTTCAATATATCTACCAGAAACCTAGTGAAATTTTAGATGTAAACTAACTATTTGGCACCACCTTGCAGAAGTGATGGTTATTGCTATTTTCCCCATTTTATCCCCATGATACCACCACTATTTCCAGTCATATCCAACTATTTTCCGGACATCTCCAGATCAATCCTCATGTTTCACTTTTTTCCCTAAATATTCCATGGAATTAGCCTAGGGTAAACTAACATAGATGTGGAATATCAACCATTTGTAGCAAACCATAGGTTTTCCGCATCTATGTTAGTTCCCCTGTTAGTTTGGTATTCCCCTTATAATACCATTATCCCCATGATATCTCCATGATATCCCTTGTCCACTTGTCACTTGCTGCAAAACGGCCTCCAGAGGTGTCTTCACCTGGTCAGTTGTCGGAGACGACAGCGAGAATTGTGGTATGTCATTATCTATGGCACACATAGATACATATGTATGTATGTATGTACGTATGTATGTATGTATGTATATATGTATATATATATATATATGTATGTGGGTAATAGGATATGATGGAATATAATGCGCTATCATGGAATATTTATTCGTATAAATGTAAACGAATGTATATATATATACATACACATACAACCATTCATCTTAAAACATCACAGTTTATCTATAGTAAACAATCTAATTTTACAAACCGCTCCGCATTGGTCATATGTAACATTATCATTGTCATCTTCATTATTATGGTATTCCATTGTATTTTCATAAACACACCATACAAGATATCATGTCACTATTCATACTATGCATATCATGGAAAATACTAGGATTGGGTACCATCTAATTTTAGATTATCCCAAATAAGATATCCCCATTTTATCCATAGTTGGCCAGGTGGCCAAATGGATTTTCCATAATTTATTCTGGTAACCTCGGCGATGGACGGTACAACCCGTATATATATATATATATACACATGCATATACACACAGTCATCCTGAAGTAGATAGACTTTTGTCTTTTTTTAATCATCTTCCCATTTCAGTGAGGATGTTTTGACAGTTGAAATCTCACCATCAACTACTCCAGGATGATTAGTTCTCTCATCAATCAACAATCCTGGAGATATAAATAGTTTCAATAATATAAAAAGTAACTGTAGTGGAATAATTTCAAGCACAAATCCTCCAGGATATCTGAAAATCACTTGAATAGTGATACATTATTTATCAATGTATATCAATATCAATATAATTCATATCTCAAAAGCGTTTCAACATTGATACTTCATACACCTATCATTGTCAACTCATCACGAATAACTTTCAATCATATATCCCCTCTAATCATCTATAATTGTTGATAAGCATCATTAATCAACAATTATCATATATGGGATAGTTTTCATAGATTGATGAAATATAGATAGAAATAATGATCATAATCATTGGACATTTATGATATATTGTATACCAGTCATAATTGTTGATATCATCTATTCATCACTCAGTGGAGCGCGGAGCAGGCCTTGCCTCGGTGGACCCCGGCAGTATGGACTCAGCAGGGCCAGCGGGGCCGGCGGCCACATCGCCGGAACCGCCTGCACGGTGGAAGCCCTAGTCTGGTTGGTGGTTTCAACCTACCATTGGTTGGAAATATGCTATTAATATATGGTTAATAATGGTTATTATATGGTTAATAATGGTTATTATATGGTTAATAATGGTTATTATATGGTTAATAATGGTTATTATATGGTCAATAATGGTTATTATATAGTTAATAATGGTTATTATATGGTTAATAATGGTTATTATATGGTTAATAATGGTTATTATGTGGTTAATAATGGTGATTATATGGTTATTATATGGTTAATGATGGTTAATAATAATCTGGTTGGTGGTATACCTACCCCCCTGAAAAATATGACTTCGTCAGTTGGGATGATGAAATTCCCAATATATGGAAAAATAGATGGAAAAATCATGAAAAGGCCATGTTTTGTAGGGATATTCCCTGAAATTTAGGCCTGAAAAATAGACCAAAAATATATGGTACGTCCAATTTAGGAACCTGAAATGGCCATTGATAGTATCATACTTGGGAGAAAATATCCAGCTATACCAGCTATGACTTAGGGTACCGTTTGGGTGGAGTTTTGACTTAGAGCCGAGGAAGAAATATCAAGATTTCACGCAACTTGAGGCCCAGGGGTAAGGGACGAAAGCTACCTTGGTAGGGAGCTTGGCATGAAACCACAATGAAACCAGCCAGCCGGGGGGGTATCACGGTATAACTATGAAGTTTCATGGGATTGGAGATTCCAGCCCCCCCAATACCTTGTTAAAGCAAGGACTTCAGCAGAAGGACCTTGCTTTCGTGACGAATCTCTGAGATTTCCAGGTTTTTTTTCAACCAAAAACAATCAAATTAGGATTTCACCAACGAAATGCGATATAGATGTGATTGAAGATAGATAGGTTGGATGGTTGGTTTACTTAACTAGGGTAAGGCATGGATAACAAACAATAGGGATTTAACCAATAAGTTGATTCATAACTTGGCTACAGAGGGTTTAAGAAGCAAAATAGGCGATCTAACACAGGGTTTGAACCAACACAAATTCTGATTTATGTGGGTAAATGATCATATTTCACAAACCTGGAATAGTTCGGCCATGGCTGGGGATGATTTCCCTTATGAATTTACCCAGATTTATGTGGTTCCCTGAGCAAACTGGTTCTCTTTTTTCTGGGGCACCAGTTCCAATGGACACCAGGGAGACTATGGGACGGCTTGAAGAAGATGGTTCTATGGGCTACATTCGTCCCATGGGATTCCTTATCATGTCGACATTAAGCCACTTTTGACCATGGCATATATGAGTCCTGTTCCTACCATTTGATCCTTTTATTGCTTGAAACATCGTTCTCCGGCCCTTCTGTTGGGGGTAACTGGGGAATGACCCCACAAAACTAGTTCTTTTCAACATGTGGTTTCAGATCCTAAAGCGACCCCAGCATTTTTGGGGAAGCTACAAATTTGTTTGTTGGTGAAATATATCTCATTATGTTGTATCTCTTTGTATATATATAGATACACATGTATATTCCAATTATTAAATATCTTTCTCTCTCTCTCTCTATATACATAAATTATACACACATATACATTGTATATATATATATGTATATAAATTTATGTATGTATTATATGTATTATGTAGTATCAACATTGTTGTTTTCTCAGAAAAATCATCCAGAGGGGTGATAATTTTGGGTCGCTTTTCGCGCCGACCTGACGCTTGCATCATCGGAGTTGGATCCTGACCCGGCGATGGGATTGGGGCGATGGATAATTGATGAAAATTGGATGAAGATGGATACCATCCATATAAGGAAATTATAGAAAAAAACCATTTCCAGAAAAAATATCATCACTTATATGGGAATTGATGGGTAATTGAAGAGTTGGAAGGGAATTTCTGGTTGGATTTGGCTTGAAACTCGAGAGAGTTCGCGAAGTTTGAAGAGATTCCACGGGCCAAACAACAGTGGTTCTCACCCACCAGCGATTTCGGGTTCATAAACCTGCAGGAATGGCTAGAATTTCTAATTTTTCATGGTAATCCATGATAAACAAACCAATGATAGCTGACTTTTCTGTGGATATTTTTCCAGTCAGTGTTGGAGCGTACCTTTCCTGAGGTCCGTATACCAGGTTGGATTTTACGAGGCGAGAAAATTGATTCCTACTCGGTTTTTGGAACTAGGAAATTCAATCTTTGGACACGCAAAAAATGATGTACTGCTCGTCTTGGCTATGTCTCCAAATTTGTTTTGCCAGCTAGTTGTTGGTGAAATTTCCACCGAGATGGTGGAGAAATGGTGAATTCGTAAAGTTGGCAGATCTTGGAACCAGATCGGCCTCCAGTTGTGTTGATATCGTGATTCAGCCAGCCGGCTGAATCTAGTTATATAGCTATGAGTCAGCCAACCGGGACCCAAATGGTAGCCTAAAATCAGGGCTTTCTTTTTGAACCAGTCTAGTAGAAAATGTGACTTGAGTCATATGAAATGCTACCCATATAGCTGACTGGTTGGTGGTTTCAACCCCTCTGAAAAATATGAAAGTCAGTTGGGATGATGAAAGTCCCAATATATGGAAAAGGAAAATTCATGTTCCAAACCACCAACCAGATGATTGTGATAATGGTTGATTGATGATTACAAAAAAGATTACTATCACACTCAGAATCATTATAGTGACAATAAAATATGAGTAATGTACATATATCCCAATACATCACATTACATCATCCCATCAAAACCATAGTAAACCATCATTTTTCATGGTTAAACATCATGTTAGACCATCATTTTTCATGGTTAAACCATATTTTTCATGGTTAAACCATCATTTTTCATGGTTAAACCATCATTTTTCATGGTTAAACCATCATTTTTCATGGTTAAATAAACCATCATTTTTCATGGTTAAATAAACCATCATTTTTCATGGTTAAATAAACCATCATTTTTCATGGTTAAATCATCATTTTTCATGGTTAAACCATAGTAAACCATCCCCCATGGTGGTTTTTCCATGTTCCAAACAGCATCCCGCTGCCCCAGCATCCAGCTCATCCGCCTCGATGGGCGCTGGATCCATGGCATCTCCAGTGGGGCTGCGGGGCGGTTTGTTGGTGACCTCCGGCGGCGGCCCTCTGGTAAATTAACATAGACCCTGGCAGTCATCGGGGTTGGAAGATGAGTGTTTCCATGAAAAATTGGTGATTTCCGGTTGGTCTATGTTTATTTACCATGACGGGTATCATATGACTATATATTACTTATATGTTTTCAATGATCATATGTATATATACATATATATATATATCATATTAATCAAACATATTATTTAATGCTATGTTCTGTATGTATATATAAGATGTATGAAAAGAGTCTAGATCCATTCAAGGTGGTGCTGTGAACAAGTTGGTGTGCACACCCCACTAGTTCAATATGTGGAGCACACCAATTTAGCTGACAAAAACGAATTGGTGTACATAAGCAATTCCAAATATTCCATATATCCATTTAGCTGAAAATTTAGCTATATTGATTAGCTAAAACATCCATAAAAAATCCATATATATATACATATATATATATATATATTGTGAAACTCCCTAGTTTCCTCTTGCATTGTCCGACATTCATGGCATCAGCAGGGGTTTCCACGTTCCATCCAACTCGCCGCGCCGTCCAACCATCTTTACAGTGGCGGGAGGGCAGAGGAGCCAAAGTGGAAAAGCAGGCTGCAGACAGGGTTCAGCAGTGGTCAGGTAAGGCAGCTTTCAGGGTGAAAGATTCGCATTGGTAGCGGAGCCTCCTCTGGAGGTCTCCTATAACCTAAGGGGCTTAGGTTTAATTCCCGTTTTGGGGTTAGTGCAAGGTGTATTGGTACAACAAACACAAGACAGACAACTCCAAGTAGGAAGTCGTGAGCCATGTCCGCCGAAACAACGGCGACTGTCATTGGTGGATCTCCGGCGGCAACTGCCTCTGGTTCGGATGAAAAGGGGAACTCCTTGTGGAACGTACTTCCCACTTTCGACCCGGCCAGTGATGACCCGAAGGAGTATGTGGACAAGGTGAAGTTTTTGAGTGCAGTATGTCCAACAAAGGACAAACCAATGTTAGCGCCACGCTTAGCGATGCTCATGCGAGGAACAGCCTGGGCACAAATTCGTTTGGCAGACCCAACGACACTGTCAGATCCGACTGAAGGAATCAAAACGATTCTAGCTGCTGTGTCGACATGGGAGGAGGCAGCAGAACACCAGACCTATGAAAAGTTTGAGAAAGCGATCTACCGAGTGGTCCAGAAGTCGGATGAGTCAACAGTTAGCTATGTGAATCGCATGACAGTGGCTTTCCAAGAACTTGGAGATGTGGCTCTGAAAGATGTGCAATCGTTTGTACTCTTGAGACAGAGTGCTTTGGTGCCTGAGGACAAGAAGAAGGTGATCACTATGACCAATGGTGACCTGAGCCTCAAACTGGTTGAGAAATCAATGAGGTCCCTTGCTACCAAGGTGCTGAACAGTGGAGCTGATGTCAAGAAAAAGACCTACCCAGTCAACTTCATGGATGATGATGTCGATGAGATCAACATGGTCGGCGAGGACGAAACCTGGGATGAGGATGTCATCCTTCAAAGCATGGCAGAACAAGGGGATGAAGATGCTCAAACAGTGAGCGAATTTGAGGAGCAGTTGATTGACGTTTGCCAGGAGTCTCAAGAACTCAGTTTGTGCTTTTCAGCATACGCTGAAGCCAGGTCGAGGATCAGAGACAAGATCCGAGCTAGGCGTTTCTGGCCTCCTCGAGGAGCTGGAGGAGGAAAAGGAAAGAGTGGCAAAAAGAGTGTCTTCAAAGGTTTTGGAAAACGTCGGCACCAGACGTTGGCTGACAGAATTGCAGCATCTAGCTGCAGGATCTGTGGAGCAAAAGGACACTGGAAGTGGGAATGTCCACGACGAGCTGGTGGCAATGGCCAAGGAGCTTCAAGTGGACAAAGTGCAACCTCCAATGCAGACATCAACATGGCGATGAAGGTGACGACTGGCCGCACTGATGACGAGATCGTTCAGTCGGTGACGCATGGCATGAGCCTCTCCCTGTCCGACCTCTTGGCGACGGACAACCAGGACTGTCCGGATACCTCCCAAGTGCTGCTTGAGTCCACCGATGTTCTAAAATGTGAACACGGAGTTAATGAGGAATTCATTTTTATGACTGAGAAACAAAATTTTGTGGCCCTTGACCGATATCTGAAAGTGGCATCTTTGGAAAGAAGGCTCAGGGGGGTTTGTTTTGGTAAGAGTTGCAGGACTGATTTTCTTCAGAAGCCGGAGTCAGTGTTGGTCACTGAATGTAGTTGCCCTGGAATCATAGACACAGGTGCCAGTAAATCAGTCATCGGTCGAAAAAAGGTGAAAGGGCTTATCAACAGCCTACCTGCGGCGATCCGTCAGCGTGTGCAGTTTGGAAAGTCAGAAACAGTGTTTCGTTTTGGGAATAATGGTATTTTGCCAAGTGTAGGAGCTTTGTATATCCCTTTTGGTGAGAATTGGATGAGGTTGGAAGTTGTGAATGGTGAAACACCGTTTTTGCTGTCAAACGCATTTTTGAAAGCAACGGCTGCTGATGTGTGCTCCACAGAATCAGCTCTGTTTTTCCGAAAACTGGGAATCAGTGTTCCTCTTCAGCTTAATGCAAAAGGGCTGTACACTGTTGAGCTTGCAGAAGTTTTGAAAGCCGTGTCCAAAGATCAGGACACTGTCAATTGTGCCAAAACATGAAGTTGTCACAACAGCCATGATTGAGAGTAGTGTAAAACAGAACACAACAAACAACAAGCCTGCAGCAGATGACACTGGAGACCGTGCGTGTGATCCAGCAGCTGTGGCCCAACGTTCAGAACCCAATCGTGATCCAAGTCATTATCAACGCTCTCTTCCTGAAGCTCATGGCGTCGGTGCCGAACTCGACCTATGCAGCCAAGAGTTGCCCAGTGCCGCTGCCGGATGTGGAGCTCGCTTTGTCGGTGGATCCGTCACTGGCCTACGAGAACCCAACTCAGGAGACGATCCATCGTCCTCCAGGTGTGGCGACCCTTCGTCAGTGGGGCAATCAAGTTTTCCCAGAGGGGAAGTATCAAGGGACAACCTTCATCGCGGTGTACAACAAAGACCAGAAGTACACTGCGTACATGAAGGGCCACAGTCACCTGACTTCCGCATGGGCCAAAAGCTTCCAGAACTTCGTCAAGGCCATGCACATGCCGATGGGAAGTCAGCAGACTCCTTGCCTCACACCGAAGGGGACGACAAGCCCTTCAGCCAGCGAGTGGGATCTTCTGAGCAGCCCGGGACTGAGCCAAGCTCCAACTTGCCAGAACCGTGGAAAAAGGGGGCAGATCGAGAGCGAGATGGAAGGGGAGATTGCCAAGATGGACTTGGAGAAAGACCGCGACAAGGAGCAGATGCTCGAGTCCAAGATCGCTATCCTTCAGCGAGAATTGGATCGTCTGAAGCAAGACAGCTTGTGAACCAATTCGAAGTAAGTCCTGACGAAGTACCGCTCGATGCCCATCAAGTCCAAGAGGCCAACATGTCCACTCTCGAATCAGAATTGCAAAAGAAATCTGAAAGCATTCAACGAGAGTTAGATGCTTTGGTCCATAACTTAAAGAATGATGTGGCAGGCTTGGCATCGGTACGACAGGAAGCCCATGCACCACGAAGCAAGTCAGTGTCTGCACATGGACAATGCCAAAGACTAGACCTGTTGGAGGTTTACTGTGAAGAGAATTCTAGATTGACAGAAGTAGCCTCTCAACTGGGTCTCAAAGCAAGACGATTTACCCGTGCAGACGGTGATTTGCGAACACAAGAGGGTAGAGACGCCCTTTGGAGGCTTCTGGTACGTGAACGTCCGCGACATGTTTGGATGGCCCCAGAATGTGGACCTTGGGGCAACTTCAGTCGATTGAATATGTGCCGAAGTTCCTCCACACGTGACAAAATCATGTCAGCAAGAGCAGAACAACAAAAACACTTAGAACTCTGTAATGAGGTATATGAATTTCAAATTGCCGAAGGGGGACACTTCCACATTGAACAACCTCAGGGATCAGAAGTTTTTGAGCAACCTGTTATGGGGAACATAGTCATGGGAACTCTTAGGACTGTGTTTGACATGTGTGAGGTAGGTAAGCTCAAAGTCCCCAAAGGCAACAACTACTTGAGAAAAAGAAGTGTTGTTAGGACAACTTCACGGGAGCTCCATGAAAGTTTGGATGCCCGGTATTGCAACAAAAGGCACAACCATCAGCAGATTGAAGGAAAAATTCGATACCTGGGAAAATGGATTAACCTCTCTGAGTATGCAGCTCGGTATTCAAATGGTTTTGCGAAGAATGTTGCATGGTTTCTTTTGCGAAGTGTTGGTTGCGGTGAGTTGCCTTTGGAAACTGCTGAGCTGTGCATTGAGAGCAATGATCAATCCCAGGCAGAAATTCTTGCGGCGGCGAGCGACAATAAATCTCGGCGGAAGTCTCTCCAACAACTGGAAACAGTAAAACCCCGGAAAAATGAAATTTGGGAAAACACCCATAAGACTCCTCGGGGAAAACGATTGAGGGAAGTTTTTGTCAAGGTAGAAAAGAGGGCACCCCGGGTAGGGACAATTGTGGTACCTTGTGGGGAAGAACTGTCTCGTGATTTTCAAAGCCTTTGCAGCAACATGGCTGTCAAGAGTGTCGAACTGTGTCGCGGCACGGACCGTTTCCGGCTGCCTAAAGAGAACATCAGTTTGGAGACCATTCCGCTCCGTCAGACTTTTGTCATGCACCGAGAAACTGGAGAAGTGTATGAGCTTGGAAAACCTGAAGAGTGGACAAAACTTCCCCGAACTAGAAGGTATCAGAAGTCTAAACCTGCAAAAGTTTGTGTCACTGTGTTTGGGGGATACCCAGAATCACCTTCCAGCTCAACAGCTTCTGTGCGGCGTGCTGAGACCGTTCCCGTGTCGCTTCCGATTCGTGAGAAGTCATCGAATGGAGACTCTAGTGCCGTCCATACTGCACCACCAATTGGATCCAATCAAGACCAAAATATTGTCAAAAAGAGGGTGTTGGAAACCACTGGTGATGATCCCGAAAAACGTCATTGTGTTGGTAACCACGGGGGAGATGATGGGGTTGATGATGAGTATCTTGAGGGGTTTCCACCAAAGGGGGTAGCCAAGCATGGTCCAGCCTTTTTGAGTTTGAGTAAGGAGGAAAGGGAATGGGTTAAAAGGGTACATCACCGGATGGGCCACCCGGATCCAAAGAAGTTTGCTGTTTTTCTCAAAGACACCCATGCTGATCCCAAGATTATTGCTGGAGCTTTGGAGTATCAGTGTGATGCTTGTGGAGAGTCCCAAACTGGATACTCTCTTGCACGACCGGCGGCAATTCATGCACACCTTACCTTTAATGAAGTGATAGGGATGGACACTGCAAGTTGGACTAATGATCAGGGTTTGAGGTTCACTTTTGTTCACTTTTTGGATGAAGGAACCCTATTTCACTTGGGAAAACGGTGTGCTGAGGACTCGGATTCACAATTGTCTTGTTTTGGAGATACCTGGCTTTCATGGGCTGGTCCACCGAGGCAGGTATATCTAGACCCAGCTTCTGAGTACAATAGTGATAAGTGGTTGGAAGCCATGCAATCCGAGGATATCCAACTCAAGATGTCTGCGGCCGAATCACACTGGCAGCTAGGCAGGGTAGAAGCCCATGGAAGAATTGTGAAGAGGATGTTGGACCTCATGAATGCAGAGGTTCCCATTCGTAGTGAAGAGGAGTTTGACAGGGCAATTCGTCAGGTCTTTTGTGCAAAGAATTCCATGTCACGTGTCCATGGCTTCACCCCTGAACAAGCCGTTTTGGGAGTAGCAAGACGACTCCCGGCGTCAGTGATCTCAGGAACTGAGGCGTCTAGTCACTCCTTGGCTGACAGCAATAGCACGGATGGAAATGTGTTCCATGAAGCTTTGCGTCTCCGCTGTGCTGCCCAAAAGGCTTTTGTACAAGCAGATAACTGCAGTAGTCTCCGAAGGGCTCTTTTGAGAAGGAGTAGGCCATTGAGGGATGGTTATGAAGTTGGAGATTGGGTTTTGTATTGGCGAAAAAGGGGCGGCAACATGCGTCGAGAACATGGTAGGTGGCATGGACCAGCAAGGGTGGCCATGGTCGAAGGACTCAAAGTAGTCTGGCTGACTCACGCCAACAAACTAATTCGTGCCAGTCCAGAACAGCTGAGACCAGCATCACTGAGGGAATGGAAGGCAGTAAAAGCTTCAGAAGAAGCCAAGTTGCCCATGGACCAGTTGTTGAAGAGGGCTGGACATCAGGACTATTTTGATCTAGGTGGGGATTTGCCTGGTTTGGGTGATGTTGTTTCTGGGGATGTTTCAATCACGGCTGAAGCTGAAAGCCTTCCGGAACCTGAGAGTGCGCCAAGCGTGGTGTCAGGGGAAACTGGAACACTCCCTGAAAGTGGACATGTCGAAGAGCCGACAATTCCGGTAGGAGGTTTGCATGTCCCAGTTCCAAACACTGATGATGAGGATGAGACTGCGTGGTTTGGGGATGTTTGTGATTTTGGTTCTGGATTTGGTAAGAGTTGTTGGGAGATTGATGTTACCCCTGAAAGTAACTGGGACCCCTCACAACTGGGATTAGATATCTTCCATAGTTCCACAGTTACTGTAGATGAAATGATCCTACTGGCCACGGAACAGAGAAAGAAGCGGAGAAAGAGAACAACAACTCTTTGCCAGTGCGAAAAACAAAGAGATTAAAGCATGGCTTCATCATGGTACGGTTCGTAAGGTAACAGGTGACAAGATACCTGAGCATGCTCTCATGAGGTGTCGTTGGATCCTGAACTGGAAAGAAGCCACAGGTGAAGAGTTGAAAGAGGATCTCTCTGACCAGGGCTGCCGTGCCAAAGCAAGACTAGTAATCATTGGTTATGAGGACCCTGACATTGATGTTGTCAACAATGATGCTCCGACCTTAACGAAAGATGGAAGAATGACAGTCTTGCAAGCTGTGGCATCGCATCGCTGGGAACTTTTAAGTTTCGATGTCTCCACGGCATTTCTTCATGGTCGGGGTGACGGGAGAACGCTGGGAATACACCCACCACCAGAACTGAGGGAATCCCTGGGCATGGGTCCAAATGACCAGTGTGCTTTGGATGGAGGAGCTTATGGTCGTATTGACGCTCCCTTCTTGTGGTTTTGTGAATTTAGGGATGAACTCATTCGTCAAGGGTGCACCCAACATCCCTTAGATCCCTTCGTTTTTGGTCTATACTCTGAGTCAAAGGATTCCAGCACTGGTGAGAAGTCAACCCCAAAATTTCATGGTTGTCTAGGAATTCATGTTGATGACGGTATTGCTGGAGGGGATGAGACTTTTCTGAAAATGCTGGGAAGAGTAGAAAAACGCTTCAAGTTTGGTGCTTTTGAAAAGAGGGAATTCAAGTACACTGGGATTCATTTCCGTCAATGGGATGATGGTAGTATTGAATATGACCAGGTAGCTTATATTGAGAAGATTCAACCTGTTTCCATTGATAAATCCCGAAAGCATCAAACCTCTTCTCCCTTGAATGACAACGAGAAGAGCAACTTGCGTAGCATCGTAGGAGCACTCCAGTACGCAGCAGTCCACAGCAGGCCAGACATAGCTGCGAAGGTTGGAGAGTTGCAGTCTGCAGTAAATACTGCGACAATTGCGGATCTTGTACAGGCAAATCGAGTGCTTGCAGAGGCCAAACAACATAAGGTGTCACTAATGGTACTCCCTATACAGCCCGAGCTTTTAACGTACTGTGCCTTTTCAGATGCCTCCTTTATGTCGGGAAAACGGTCTGGTGCTCATCAGGGGACACTTATTTTCTCCACAACACCTGAGCTTTTGGAAAACAAGAGGGCGATTGTAGCGCCAGTAGCTTGGGCCAGCAAGAAAGTGCCTCGGGTGGTGCGAAGCACCTTGGGAGCTGAGGCCGCTGCACTCAGCAACACAGTGGATCGACTAATGTGGATCCGTTTGTTGTGGGCCTGGATCAAAGATCCAACATGTGATTGGGCACATCCGGAAAAACTTTTGAAGTCTGAAACAACATCAGCTTTGGTGACAGATTGCAAGTCAGCGTACGATCTTTTAACTAGGACAGCAATTCCTCAGTGCTCCGAACATCGGACAACAGTGGAGTGTTTGTTGATCAGAGAAAGGCTTCAAGAGAATTGCAAAGTGAGATGGGTCTCATCACAGGCCATGTTGGCCGACTGTTTAACAAAAACCATGGACTCGCAGGCTCTCCGTACTTGCCTGGCCACAGGGAGATATGTTCTACAGGACGAAGGTCATGTTTTGAAGACTAGGTCTGATCGACGTCAGAGGCTGGAATGGATCAAGGGGCAGGCTGTTGATGAGCCTCCTGTGGAAGCTGAGTCTTGCCAAATGGCCACAACGAATCATCATGCTCAGCCATTGCAAGATTTTTGGAAATGGGGACCACAAGGTGAACTCATTAGAGTTCATGTTCGTCCTCGCGAACTCAAGTTCACTCCTATTGGAATTTTGGATTGCCCAGTGGATCTTCGTAAGCTTGAGACTTGTCGGGTCACTCAAATTGGAAAGAATAGGAGTGAAAGAGACTTTTGGGTAGGAACCAATGCTGCAAAGAATGTTGGATATGCTTGGACAGGATCAACCATTTTCTTTATTAAGGGTTAGTCATGTGACTATTTTTGGGCTATAAAGAGGGTGTGTGAAACTCCCTAGTTTCCTCTTGCATTGTCCGACATTCATGGCATCAGCAGGGGTTTCCACGTTCCATCCAACTCGCCGCGCCGTCCAACCATCTTTACAGTGGCGGGAGGGCAGAGGAGCCAAAGTGGAAAAGCAGGCTGCAGACAGGGTTCAGCAGTGGTCAGGTAAGGCAGCTTTCAGGGTGAAAGATTCGCAATATATATATAAATATATATCGTATTCAATAATATATAATCATAAATCCACTCAAAATCCAACGAGTACATCGGCTATAATCCAACTTGGTCAACGAACTCGGGGCACTTGTAGGACATCCATTTTCTCTGGTGGGATCCGGAAAAACTGGGTGCACTGGGAAAAAATCTCCCAATTGTTGATCGGATCCCTGAATCATCCAGCTATTCTGATCCCAAGTTTCATCGGATTTTGAATCATCTAAACTTGAAATCATCAATTGTTTATTTGAATTGTTTATAAAATCCGATGTAAACAATCTGCTGGATTTATTTGATGTCTGGATTTTCCATGTAAACACAAATAAACCATCCAGCTAGGGATCCCTTTGAATACTTTAGAGAAGCGCTCCATTGATCGGTGCCTCCAACAGCAACGCTTTGGATTCAGGATCTTTGGCATCTCGGCGCGACGGAAGTTTGAAGTTCTGTAAAAGCTGCCATTTCGGCAGTGAGGCTGACTTTGTTGGGATGCCTTTTTCAGGGGCAACCCATGAAACTTGGGAAGACAATGAATGAACATGCCATGAAGATTCGTGAATATCCATAGGATCTCAGAAATCATTAGGGATATGTCATCAACATTGGGAATGTGGATGGATTCCTGAGTGAAGACGCCATCTGACGCCATTGCCGTGCTGCAGGCCACATCCGGGTCCCTTCGTGTGGAAATCAACCACCGCAACATCTCACCCTATTTGAAGCGACCAGCTATTCGGCCAAGTGAATTCCAATGAATGGAATCGGCCCCCCTTAAAAATGTACACAAGGTGGTGCCCTAGTTCGGAATTGCCAAGTTGTTCTATGACTTAAAAAAACTGGGGCTTATGGTAGTTGTATAATGATACACGCTTATGGTATCTATGGAATCTATGGTTCCGGGGCACCCGGGACACCACAATTTCTGACCCACTTGGATCATGGGCAACTCCACAGGGACCACGGCATCCAGACATTTTCACCCAAATTCGAAAGGTTCCCTCTCCAAAACTCCCAAGAAACCATATGAAACCATGCTGACTGCAGAAATCCATGAGTTTTACCAGTGACTAAGCAGTGACTTTCGGGAGCTTTCCCCATAATTTCCCATGGAATCTATTGGTTTCCATTGGTTTCCATGGTATGAAAACGGAAACGCCAACCGAGATGCTGCCAATCAAGGCCACTCTTTCCTGCACCGACTGCCGAAAGATCCAGATCTCCTGCGACGGAGGGTTGGGCCCAGGCTGGTTGATTTAAAAAACTATGGAAAGATCCACCATTTTATAGCTGGGTAAATCAACGGTTTCGACTGGGCCATTTTCAATAATTAGCTATGTTAAATTGCCAGTCGATTTAGGATTTGATTTAGTGTATCCAAGAAAAAACTATGAATATAATATAACATATAAGATAATATAAACATGGAAATGGATACTTAACACCTAAAAACCGTCATAAACCGGATGGTGATCTCACTATGTTTGGGCTGCTTCTACTGGCTGCACTCGATCTGCAGTGGAAGATCGTGGTGAAAATCATCGAATTACTACTTACTGGTGACTCTGACATCACCCATAGCGATTCCATTCCCAATGATCAAGTCGAATATTGCTAATATCATCCCAAATCAGCCATCAACTTGAGGTTTTCCAGTTTTCACCATCTTCCCATCCCATCTCCCAAAATCTTCCCATCCCATCCCCCCTCAAAAAAGGCCCCCAAAACGCCTCGATGGTGGGATCTGGTGCTTCAAACATCAACTTCACCTGGAGCCATGGGGAAATCCCCGAACATGAGGAACACGAAAAAGATGGAGGTTTTTCATATGGGACATTCATGGGGATATTCATGATATTAATGAGTTCATGGGGTTTAATATGGGATATTAATGATACTAATGATATTATTAATTATAAAAAACCATTAAGAATGGTGGTGCCAAATGATCTACTTTCCATGGTCTTGCAGATCGGCAATGCCAGATACCCTGCGGTAGATTCACAGAGACCCCCTGTCATGAAGGTTTTTGGGGTTGGAACATGAGTTTCCGCCAAGAAACCACCTACTGGAGGGTAACTGACCAATTTTAGATAAAGTTGCCTCCCCCATCAAAATTCGCCCCCCCGCCTATGCTAACCCAGGATTTAATCATCTTTTTATTTCTCCCAAAGGGGGCAGTATCAGTTTTTTAAGGACGACGTATCAAACTTTTTTTGGAAACTCCTCCGGTTCTTCATCAGCAGGATGGTGTACGATCCTCAAAATTGACTTGGGCCCCATACCGACAGAAAGGGACGCCAAAATGATCGGTTTCTGTTGGTTTATAACTACAACAACTAGGGTTATGTGGGCTTTATCCATCTCTATAGTTGGATGGGTATGGGATGTTTGGCAATTTGACGAATCCACAGAGGTTCCCCTTTCTATAGATATTTGGTTTATGGCAAATATATCTATAGTTGGATGGGATTATAAACCAACTTACAAACGGGGCATGTACACACACGCACACACAGACATATATAATTATCTAAATATATATATATATATATGTATAATTTATATGCATATACATGAGGGGATTTACTGCGGTTAGCTACAGATATCCCTTGGGTCCATCCTAATAGCTGTAACAGTCAAAAAAAACAGTCTTTATATTTTGGGCGAACGTTGTTTTGAATGTTTTCCTTCGTGCCAAAATTTGTGCTTTTTGGTGCTCTCCTTCGTGCCACAAACCGTGCTTTTTGGTGCTCTCCTTCGTGCCAAAAATCGTGCTCTAGATCGTGCTCGCTGTTACAGCTATTAGGCTTGTGTCAAGATATCCCCATTTTTGGGGGATATCCAAAAACCATTTTGGATGGTTGTATTCATTGCTCCAGTTACAAAATGAACGCTTCTCGCCATTTCTTGCCCCAGTTATGTATGGATTATGTTCCCGCTGTTTGGTGGTTGTACCATTGTTACAATACTATATCATCATTTCCCTATTCTACTATCCCCATAGAAATGCCATGAAATCCCATAGAGACATTAGTCTGTCAATATCCCCATTATTACTATATCCCCATGATTATTATCATTATCAGTATTATTGCTATATCCCATGGGTCATTACTATATCCCCATTGTTTTACCACTATCCCAAACAAAAATCCCAGAGAAATCCCCGTATGAACACCTTATCCTTATCCTATTATATTCCTATTATTGTACCACTATCCCCATAGAATTTTACCATTTTTACACGATTATATCATTATATCATCATTATACCATTATCCCCTTAAAAAAATATAAAATTACCATGAGACCGTTGTTTGGTGATCATACCATTGTATCCCCAGTATTATACCACTATTCCCAGAGAAATCCCATAAAACATCCTATGGAAATCTCCCCCACAGCGCCTTCACGTTGCTCACGGCGCGGAGCCACAAGTCCTTCTCGTCCGCGTTGCGAGCGCAGAAACGATGACTCGGGGAAGCAGTTGTGGAGGCGTTGCGTGAAGGTGAAACCCAGTGAGACGTTGACCCCCAACAACATAGAAAAGTAAAATGCTACTCAAATAGTGATAAATCACTTTTGTACTATAACTATCTACCAGCACTGAAATCAAATCCAAACCCCTACCAACAAATATCAACCACCTGCAATGAGTTCTACAGTAACCATCTTCTCGATTGATTCACTCTATGATCTCTTTTGCAGGGTGGACAATGATCACACGGTCACTTACGGTTTCCGTGGCAAAACTTGCCAAACAAATTTTGCAAAAACTATTAGGCCATCTGGTTCAACTGTAAAATCTACCAACCGGAAATGTTGAGAGATTCTTAGGTGATTGTTGAGGCTGATAAATATCATGACATAAATGTGGTGATTTTAGTTCATCACCATCTCAGCTCATGATGGTGATGATTTTCAACTCATAATTCATAATGGTGATGATTTTTATGATCCTCCATCACCAAAAGGTATACCCCTCTGTAAAGTAACATATTAATGTGGTTTTAACCCACCATGTGTAGATTTTTTCAGAGGGAAACCATGGGTTTTCCCCATCTTTTTCTATGTCCCCAGAGTAAACCACCGGTTTTCCCGGCAGCAAAAACTGCGGTGCCCAGCTGGTCGATGCCAAAGACGTTGCAGTACACGCCCGAGCGAGTGGAGACCTAGGACAACCATCTGGTTATTTAACATAGCCATGGAAAGATCCACCATTTTTGATAGGTAAACCCAGGTAAACCATCTATTTCTATGGGCCATGGCTTCCATGGCTATGTTAAATAACCAGAGGGTATATATATATATGTATATAGATATACATGGATGTACATACATGGCAGTTATGTGAAAAATTACAGATATCAGTAAAATGGGACTGGTCACATAGATGCCATATTAATAGGATCATAGTCCCATATGGCAGTGTGTCAAAACCAATAGTACCCCTTCTGTTCACATCAAAATAGCTGGGTTAAAATGGATGTTCATCCCCCTAAAGTAATGGTATTTTCATAGGTATTGATCCATACCCATATTGGATAATTGGGAAAATATCTGTTGTATATTATATTGGGGATGATATTGGATAACCCTGATGATATATCTGTTGTATATATCTGTTGTATAATCCCATATGATCCCCTAAGACAAGCCATGAAAATTCCTGGTCACATAGCTTGGGCCACTGACGGTGGTGGACTCTGACAGCGCCACGGTCGAGAGCTGCGAAGCGATAAGGGACCATTTTCCATAGAAAATGGAGGTTTTCTAAGGGGAAAACCATGGGAAAAACCATGGGAAATCCACTCAGAATGAGGTTTACATCGTTGTTTCATGGGTAAAACCATGGGAAATCAATGGGAAATGGAATCCACTTTCATGAAACGTGGAGGTTTAATGAGGCTTATAGTCGGGGAAATGGGAAGATCATGGGGAAATCTACAATAAATGGAGGAAACACATGAAACAAATTATGAAATGAATAATGATGAAAACATGTCCAAAAATAATCCCATAGGTCAATGAAACATCCCCCAAGGGATGACTTCAAAGCGAGCTCGAGAAGTGGTTTCGATGGAAACCATGGATGAAAAAATGTAATGGATAAGCTTCATTTACCAAAAACATCCAGAAACCCTGTGTGCTTTTGGTTTGTTTGTTTCCATTCATTCTCGTTTTCGATGGTTTTCGATGGTTTTCTGCCAACTTCTTCCTAAAACCGTGGTCAATCTTGGACACTCTGCAGTCAAAAATTCGGCATCAGATTCATAAGATTAGTTCGCCATCAATCTTGGATACATCTAATAAATACCCTGTAATCTGGTAAACCCAAGCCCACTATCCCCATGCCCATGTTTATGGCTTGTATAAACCACACCCAAATGGTAGGTTTATGGCATTGGACAAGGGTACCCGCCTCGCGGTCGCACCAGGCATCGCGGTATAAGGTCATCTTGGACTCCCCTCCCGAGTACCTAAGGGACGGCCGTGCGATTTCCCCGTGACCGATTCTGGCACCAAAAAATCCAGGTTCAGATGGAGATTGAAAAGAGTGTTTTTAGGAGACCAAAATAGTGTTCAGCTAGTTTTGTCAGGTGTCATCTTTCGAGTCATAGTGTCGAACTATTTTTGGGGTGTGACACCAGGAATCCAAGCTGAAGTCGTGACTGCATGGAAGCTCTCAGAATTCATCAGTTTTCAAGAGTGACCTGAGGATTTTTCATCATGGCTTAGGTGAAAGATGGGGGAACCATGTATAGCAGTTACTGTGACCTTTCAGTTTTTGAGGTTTCTGAAGAGTTATGGAATGGTGGATTGGAGATATGGTCATGATTTGGATCTCCCCTCACTGGAAGTTCGATGATTCGATGACATGACCCACCTTTTGCTCTGACTTTGGTTCCAAACATTTTTTTTAAAAAACAGTACACAAATCAAATCTATCCCCTTTGGTGACACCAAAAATATCACCCCAAATAGACAAGTTGATTACCTGGTGTCCCGCACATGGGACCCATATGTTGATCCAAGATCTGGGTTTCTCTAGGAATGAGGCGATCAATTTTATCCACTGCTAAACATACAAAAAGCTATTGAAACTGGCCATTGAAGTAGTGGATTTACCCATTAAAAATAGTGATTTCCCAGTTCGCTATGTGAGTTTACTGGAGGGTATCCACTGGAATGTTTTTCACATCGCAATGGACCATCTATAAACGGGCGATTATGCGATTATCCGTTGGTTACTAGAGGGGAAACACTGAAGACGTCGCGCCGAGTGTTGGTTTTTGATTGATTCATTGATGCTTATTCCAAGACTATATCTACTATATCCCCGTCATATCCCCATCATATCCAATTCATTTCTTATTAACTATTATTATAAGCTACTATATTCCATAAGATATCAATTATCACCATGTTGAACTTGGCCCTGGTTTCCAACCATCATATATCAACTATATGTCAACGAGATCCCCCTACAAGTTGTGGCCCCCCCAAGGATAGCAAAGTTCATCGGGTTTATAAACCAACAAACATCACTGTCACTGGGTCCACGTTGTAATGCATATGTATATCACATATAATCATCATACATCAACATATAATCATCGTATATCAACATATAATCATCACATATCATCATACAATCAACATGTATCATCATACAATCAACATGTATCATCATACAATCAACATGTATCATCATATATCATCATATATCATCATATATCAACATGTATCATCATATATCATCATATATCATCATATATCAACATGTATCATCATATATCATCATGTATCAACATATAATCATCGTATATCAACAAATAATCATCACATATCATCATACAATCAACATGTATCATCATATAATCATCATGTATCATCATACATCAACATATAATCATCGTATATCAACATATAATCATCACATATCATCATACAATCCACATGTATCATCATATAATCAACATGTATCATCATATAATCATCATATATAATCATATATAAACATATATCATCATATAATCATCATATATCAACATGTATCATCATATATCATCATATAATCAACATGTATCATCATATAATCAACATATATCATCATATAATCATCGTATATCAACATATAATCATCATATATCATCATATAATCAACATGTATCATCATATAATCAACATATATAATCATATATCAACATATATCATCATATAATCATCATATAATCAACATGTATTATCATATATAAACATATATCATCATATAATCATCATATATCAACATGTATCATCATATATCATCATATATCATCATATAATCAAAATGTATCATCATATATAAACATATATCATCATAGAATCATCATATATCAACATGTATCATCATATATCATCATATAATCAACATGTATCATCATATATAAACATATATCATCATATAATCATCATATATAAACATATCTCATCATATAATCATCATATATCAACATGTATCATCATATAATCACCATATATCAACATGTATCATCATATATAAACATATATCATCATATAATCATCATATATCAACATATATCATCATATAATCATCATATATAAACATATATCATCATATAATCATCATATATCAACATAGAATCATCATATATCAACATGTATCATCATATAATCATCATATATCAACATGTATCATCATATATCATCATATAATCAACATGTATCATCATATAATCATCATATATCAACATATAATCATCATATATAAACATATATCATATAATCATCATATATCAACATGTATCATCATATAATCATCATATATCAACATGTATCATCATATATAAACATATATCATCATATAATCAACATATATCAACATGTATCATCATATAATCATCAAAGATAAACATATATCATCATATAATCATCATATATCAACATGTATCATCATATAATCATCATATAATCAACATGTATCATAATATAAGCATCATATATCAACATGTATCATCATGTATAAACATATATCATCATATAATCAACATATATCAACATATATCATCATATAATCATCATATATCAACATGTATCATCATATAATCATCATATATCAACATGTATCATCATATAATCATCATATATCAACATGTATCATCATATATAAACATATATCAACATATATCATCATATATCATCATATATCATCATATATCAACATATAATCAACATATAATCATCATACAATCAACATGTATCATCATATAATCAACATGTATCATCATATAATCATCATATATCAACATGTATCATCATATAATCATCATATATCAACATACATCATCATATAATCATCATATATCAACATGTATCATCATATATCATCATATAATCAACATGTAATCATCATATAATCATCATACAATCAACATGTATCATCATATAATCAACATGTATCATCATATAATCAACATGTATCATCATATAATCAACATGTATCATCATATATCAACATGTATCATCATATATAAACATATATCAACATATATCATCATTTATCATCATATATCATCATATAATCATCATATAATCATCATATAATCAACATGTATCATCATATATCATCATATATCATCATATAATCAACATGTATCATCATATATCATCATATATCATCATATAATCAACATGTATCGTCATATATCATCATATATCATCATATAATCAACATGTATCATCATATATCATCATATATCATCATATAATCATCATATATCATCATATATCATCATATATCATCATATAATCAACATGTATCATCATATATCATCATATAATCAACATGTATCATCATATATCATCATGTATCATCATATATCATCATATAATCAACATGTATCATCATATATCATCATATATCATCATATAATCAACATGTATCATCATGTATCATCATATAATCAACATGTATCATCATATATCATCATATATCATCATATAATCAACATGTATCATCATATATCATCATATATCATCATATAATCAACATGTATCATCATATATCATCATATATCATCATATAATCATCATATATCATCATATATCATCATATAATCAACATGTATCATCATATATCATCATATATCATCATATAATCAACATGTATCATCATATATCATCATATATCATCATATATCATCATATAATCAACATGTATCATCATTATCATCATATATCATCATATAATCAACATGTATCATCATATATCATCATATATCATCATATAATCAACATGTATCATCATATCATCATATATCATCATATAATCAACATGTTCATCATATATCATCATATATCATCATATAATCAACATGTATCATCATATATCATCATATATCATCATATAATCAACATGTATCATCATGTATCATCATATATCATCATATAATCAACATGTATCATCATATATCATCATATATCATCATATAATCAACATGTATCATCATATATCATCATATATCATCATATAATCAACATGTATCATCATATATCATCATATATCATCATCATATATCATCATATATCATCATATAATCAACATGTATCATCATATATCATCATATATCATCATATAATCAACATGTATCATCATATATCATCATATATCATCATATATCATCATATAATCAACATGTATCATCATATATCATCATATATCATCATATAATCAACATGTATCATCATATATCATCATATATCATCATATAATCAACATGTATCATCATGTATCATCATATATCATCATATAATCAACATGTATCATCATATATCATCATATATCATCATATAATCAACATGTATCATCATGTATCATCATATATCATCATATAATCAACATGTATCATCATATATCATCATATATCATCATATAATCAACATGTATCATCATGTATCATCATATATCATCATATAATCAACATGTATCATCATATATCATCATATATCATCATATAATCAACATGTATCATCATGTATCATCATATATCATCATATAATCAACATGTATCATCATATATCATCATATATAAACATATCGCTTTGTAACTGATGTTTCTCTCCCCAGTCGGGCCCCATTGGACAGGACCCTCTTTTTTTGCGGGTCACGCATGGAGCTCTGCATAGACCAGCTGGCAGGTGTCCATGGCCGAACCGTGCAGAAGGAAACCGGCCTCGATGCGACGGGGATGGGGATGGGGGGTATGAGATTTCCCAAGTTGGGGAAGCTCTGGAAGCTTTGGACTTCTATTTGTTGATGTTTTTTAAAATTTGTATGCCATGTTTCTTTTAAGTTGTCACTGATGTAAAAAAGCATCTTTTCTTCGACGACTGAGTTCTTTCTCATTGAATTACATTGAATTAGCCATTGAATCGTCCGTTCTCCGATGGCAAACACCAGCACTTTTGTTTGGATAACTCACCATTGTTCTTGGATCAAACCGTATGTTTTTGGTCAAAAACACAGAATTTAATGTACGCCCCAACATCATTTTGTTTTGGTGAAATCCCCAAATTGTTGTTGCTGAAAGCCCACTTTATATACAGGGCTCCAAAGTTATGTAAGCCACTCTATAACTCAATTTTTAGGTTAGGATCTCATAAATCACCTGATTTTTTTGGGGGGGTTCTGAGAGGAAATTTTATGTGGAACCCCCATGGTAATTCTTTCAGCTCCCTTCTTTCTGGCGAACTCTCCAACTCTGTTGGTGATTCCAACATGTCATATTATCATAACAACAACAATAATGACAACAAAACTAACAACAACAACAACAAGAAACACTCATTGTTATTGTTTGCATTATCACTACTAATGTTTATTGTGGTTAATATTCTTATTGTAATCCTTGTCCTTGTTATCAGTGTTGCTATCTATAGACATTATGCCTACCCATGTTATCACTATTATTGTTATTGCAATACAATTATATCCATATTACTATCATATTCCATATTATTACTGTTGATTGTTGTTATACATCATTATTAATAATGTGGTTAAAACAATAATAACCTACCCATTTGGGAATGGTAAACATAGCACCTATAAAGATGATGATGACTGGGGGATGGTAAACATGACATTGTTTTAACCACATTACGATTGTTTATAATAGATTATTATCATTTGGTTAATCATTATTGTTGATTGTTGTTATACATAATTATTATTTGTTGTTATACATAATGAAAATTATTATCCATTAATAATATGAAAATACAATTAATGCATTAATAATCCAATAATCTATTAATGATAGTAATGTTAGTACATGATTGTTGATTGTTGTACAATTAAATATGCATTACTATCATTTACTATCCCCATTGATTTCATCCGTTTTTCAACTGTTAGTTCACCGACAGGAAGGGCCCCGTTATAAGTTTATAACTGGAAATGACCCCCGAAAAACTATAGTTAGATCATGTGGATTATCCCCTATAAACTCTAGTTTTCCTCAAGACATTTGCGGCAGCCAGTTCGTACTGGGGTCCCTGCACGAAACCATCATCCCCTGTAGATCATTTGCTAAAAAATATGGTGATTTTCCAGTTCGCGAACTGTTCACCAGAGGTATCATTCATCTAATGTGGTTAAAACAATGTCATAAACCACCCCATTTTGGATGGTTGAAAAACCACCCATAAAAATTGTGATTTGGGGGATGGTTTATTATCTGGTTGGTGGTTTGAACCCCTCTGAAAAATATGAAAGTCAGTTGGGATGACTATTCCCAACTGAATGGAAAAATCATCCAAATGTTCCAAACCACCCACCAGATGATGATTGCGATTATGGTTGATTGATGATTACTAATGATTACTATCACACTCAGAATCATTACTAATGGTGATTTTGGGGATGGTTTATGACACTGTTTTAACCACATTACGATTGTTGATAATAGATTATCATCATATGGATAAACATTATTGTTGATTGTTGTCATACATCATTATTAATACAATTAAATATTAGTATTACTATTATCACTATAATTACCATCCCCAAAATCACCATTAGAGGGTACCATTCATCTATTATCACCATATCTTTTAAAGGTAAAGTATATTATTATGGTGAATCTATTATAATTCGCCAGATTATTATAATAGATTCACCATAATACTCACCATAATAATGTGAATAATTATCCTATTTATCTATTATAATTCACCAGATTATCCAAATTCACCAAAATAATAGGATTATAATTCACCAGATTATCCAAATTCACCAAAATAATAGGATTATAAATAATCTATTATAACAAATGATCATTATAGTAATAATAGGATTATCTTTTATAGTAATATCTATTATAAATAATCCTATTGTTACACGCTACTCACTTCTGAATCCGGAACGCCCTCTCTTTGCGTTCCGCGCCAAGATCCGCGTCCGGGTGGCTTCGTTGCCGGGCAGGGGCTGCACCTGCGAAAACATGGGTGACCGATGGTGTTTAATGGTTAGTTGCTGGTCCTTAATAATTGACACATTGTTTTCAATGCTTTTCAACGATTAACTAGTTGTTTCTAATGTTTTTCATTTGTTAACCATTTGTAAACTAATGGTTATTAATGGTTAACTGATGCTTATTCATAGACAAGGAATGACGAATTAAGTGTTAACATAGGAGATTTAGAGGAACACACAGAAAAAAAAAGGAACTTTAAAGCAAAGCATCAGGATTTTTAGAGAGGAAAAAAGTCGGCCTGGTCAACGTACAAACATAACGAACTGGAAAGATCCACCATGTCATAGCTGGGTAAATCAACTATTTCGACTGGGCCATGGCTTCAAGTTCGCTTTTTGTAAAAAAATGCCAGAGGCTAACTATAGATATATCTCCATAACCATATATTAACCATATATTAACCATATATGAACCACATGAATATCATCCTATGTCGCTTTATGAATTTAGACATTGGATCATTGGATTTGCAGAGTCAATTTCTCTGGGAATTTCTCCGGGATTTCACCGATGCCATAGAAAAAAGTCATGGAGCTTTCCGTTTTGTCGACCCCAAGCAATCACCCATTTTTGGTTGGGATTTTCCATGAAATCATCCAGCTAGGGAGGTATAGCCATATTTTTGGAAACCTCCATATAGGGATGCAACAAAAACACACATTCCCTTTGGAATCCCTTTTGTTGGTTAGTTACAAACCAATGATATCCCCATCACCCCATCAATATACAATTTAATCTCACTCTTATATCAGTTATATATCCTCAAAAAATCCCAATTAAATCGTCATTTTGGTATATAAAATCATACATAATTACTTGTATCAGTTCTATTCCAATAAAGTCCTAATAATATCAGTTATATCCCCATAAAGATCCTTAATAATCACGATTTACTTGGTATATCGGTCCTTAATAGGGGACAAAAAAAAATCCTCGGCACCTGCAGATCGGATGTGGGATACAAGGATTGTGTCACCTAACAACAGCCAAGGTCGCTGGCGTTGGGGAGGAACAATCCTACTGGGTTTACCCTCTGGTAATTTAACATAGCTATGGAAAATCACTATTTTTTATGGGAAAATCCACTATAAATGGCCATTTTCAATAGCAAACTGTTAAATTACCAGAGGGTATTCTTTAAAAGTGGGGGATGTATCCAAAAGATAGGGCGATTTGATTGGGGAAAATGGGCTTTGAATGCATCGGAATGGTAAAAGATGCCCCTTGAAAAAATCAGACAAAGCCGTATGAACTACTGGTCCGAGACTCACTACTGGAGATGGTTCGTCTATCAAGAATTGATAGCTTCAATGCTAGTCTCCATCGTCTCCATATGCCAATGGATGCCCAATGGATGCTCAGCAGAACCTCCACGGTCCTATCTGCTTTGGGCTTTCAAAAACAACTCTGCAACTACCCGGCCTGGTAAACGTTTACAGTTTGCGAACTTGAAAATGGCCCAGTCGAAATAGTTGATTTTCCCATGAAAAATGGTGATTTTCCATAGTTATGTAAACGTTTACCAGAGGGTAAATTTTCGGGACCTGAATGGGGTCTCAAGAATTGAATGAATTCCCAACTCCCCAACTCGATCCATAGATATCCATAGTTCGTCATCATCTTCCCGATTCTCTTCGCCAGCCCAGCACGAAGTGGAATCCCAACGCACCTTGGAGACGAGGTATCCAATCTTTTCGACCCATTGGTCTCGCTCCTCACGGAACGCCCCTTCAGATCCGATCCACTGAGGAACCTTTGATCAAACCAATGATGATAGTAGTAATGAATAACACATGATGATAGAAACCAATATTAGTAATGGTAATGACAATAACCAAAAGTCAATTTGACTGCTTTATGATTTTTTTTCTTGGGGAGTCAGTCGAAGAATTGGTGTAAGTGCTGCTTGACCAAAAGTATGGATTTATCTGGGTTTGTGCTCAAAACAAATTGGAGCCCTCACCTATCATCAGCATTTGGTACTTCCCAAACCATCCGAAGTTAGCTTATTTTAGCCTAGAACACCACGGATTTAGGATGCTTGGCAGTTCATCCACACTTTGTGGTTAGTGTCCGTGAAGTAGTTCAATCAGTTATAAACGGGATAAACCATGGATAAACCACAAAAAACATGGGAATTGAATGATCACCAAAAAGTGGTTTATCCCATAATTTTATAGGTTTTAACCATTTTTCAACAGGATATATAGCCAATGTTTATGGTTTTAAACGGGATATAACCCATATAACCCTGGTTACTCACCACCAAGCCCACCAAGGCCATGAAAAATAGCGGAGGCTCCTTATAGGCGTTGCCGCCAGTGCAAGCGAAGTACAAACACAAATCATGACCTCCAGCACGGAAGACCTCGTTCGGTGATGAAAAAAATTGGCGGAGAAATCACGTTTCACCCAAAGACGATGATCTTTTTTTCTTCTTGTCATCCATATAACCCATTAATATCGCTTCCAATCATTCTTTTGGGTTATATATATATATGATGTAAATATGATGTAATTCAATGTATATTCATAAGGGTTTCGCTACACGAATTCACCTTGGCAGTTTCGCCATCTTCGCCATCTTCGCCCGTGGCACCGGGCCGTGAGCTTAAACACTGCCCAGTAGGCCGAATGCTGTAAGGTCTTCACCTGCCAGGGTTGAACGAATCCAGGGTAGTAAGGGACACTCGTTTAAAGACGTTTCAAGACGTTTAAACAAACATTTAAACAATATTGAATTGGACATGTCTGAAAATCCTATTGGACATTTCTGAAATTCCTATTGAAATTAGACGAACATCCTATTCTGGTTGGTGGTTTTAACCATCTTGAAAAATATGAAAGTCAATGGGAAGGATGACATCCCATATATGAAATGGAAAAATCATCAAAATGTTCCAGTCACCACCAACCAGATGATGGTTTAGAAAACCCCATCTAACAAAGTAGATTACTATAATAATATATCCATCATAAAGCAACATCTTTCTTCCAAACCACCAACCAGATGAATCACTGAATCACTGAGAGACATCTGCCTGACATTTCTCCACCAACGAGAAGGGCGACCATGCGCGGTTCGTGGTCTTCCCACCTCCGGCAGGCGATTTGAGCCGTCAGAACTAGGGATTTTTCATAGTCAAATCCAGTCAAATCCAATGAAATCCAGCATTTTCGATGGATTTCCATGACTGGTTGGTGGTTTCAACCTACCCCTCTGAAAAATGATGGAGTTAAGTTCGTCAGTTGGGGTTATTATTTCCAATATATGGAAAAAAATGTTCCAAACCACCAACCAGATGATGTTAACCACTGAAAATTGGGGATTTCACCATAGAACAGGGGGATGAAGCTCACGAAATGGTGACCATGATCAACACTTGACCAACAATGGGAGTACAGCATAGAACCAGACATCTTCGCATGCCAACGGGCATATTAAATATGGATTACGCGTCTCAACCAGTTGAAGGTACTTGGATTCCAGTTAGGTTTGTTCCAGAAATGGGATACCCCCAAAATCTTCACCATTCTCAAATGGCTCTAAATTGGGCATACACACACACACCATTAAAGAAACACAGAAAGTACAGTGGTAAAACGGTAAAACCCAATAAACCATCTCAGCAATATCACCATAGATGGGTGGTTTTTACCCCCATCCCCAGTCATGTTTGTTGATGCTCAGCATTGCCTGAGATCGATTGCATGGTAAAGCCATTGGCCTCATATCGCTCTGTCGCAAGCATCTGGAAATGGAGTGGTTTTGCGGGGGGTGAAAAGGGGACTCGGGCATGGAAAAACTGTGGTATGGAACCCCAATTTATGGTATCTTCAAAGGGACAACTCATGAAACATGATGATTCAGCAGTAGATGCAATGAGTTTCTTCCAATATTTTCAGACAAACATCATGAGAGACATTCAAATATTTCAACGAAAAAATGCCACAGTTTTCAGAAAACCCCATTTTTCTCACCGGAAAATCCGATTTTTTCCGTCCGGTTTTTGGCTTCAGTACTGCCAAAAATTGCCAAGTCACGTAAAGTGCCACAGTCATTTGCTGCACTGACTCCTGGCGATGGGAACGGTGGGAACGGTGGGATTTTTCTGGCCAAGTTATGGCCCAAAAAATGGCCAAAAGATGGGACAATGAACGAAGATGATACGCCAATGGAGTGGATGGATTTTTCCCAGGAATTTCCTTTGAAGATCAGAAAAAAACCATGGCTAATAAACCATCAAAGATGGATGTTCTGTACCAATTCCAGGAGATTTTGGGCCAAAAAATGGATGGGCCAAATCTGTTTTCCGAAAAACTTTCAGCTTCCCAAGTTCCGGACGTAGATTCTACAGTAGTGAGACTTACAGATGCTAACATCGCGAGAAACTCCAAGGGATTCTCTCAGAAACATGGATCATGTTTACTTTTTTCGGCTAGTCGAATTTTCACATCCCCAAACTGCTTGCAGAAGAAATCGCATGTCGACATGGCCACATAGTTACGCCAATAAACTTGCTGTGTCACAGAGTCAAGGCTTCCATTTTTTTCTGGCACGACACTCCTCCAGCTTGATTTGCATCAGGGTTCCGACCAACAACCTCAGCTGATGGTCATCGGGTCATCTGACCCCAAATGCAAAAAAAAAACACATGGATGTTTGGTGCAAAAACCGATCCTTGAGATCTAGGTGTCGAACATGTGACTCTACAAATACTCACATTATCTCACATTGATATCGACAAGCGGGAGATGTTGAACAGCAAAAATCCAGAAGATTTTGACACAAACTGTTGCCCCTCAGTTATGCAACCGTTGGTTTATAAAACCAATTGATTGGTTCCTTTTTTTTCTTCCAAAAACCCAACAGTGAAATATTGGTAAAGATTTACCATAGATTTACCATAGATTTACCATAGATTTACCATCAACTCAGCTCACATAAATCAACTATCAGTTCCCAAGGTTTGCTGCTTAAGTCCCAATGTTTGATGGTGATATCGCTTCTCTCCGTGGTTTTTGTGGTGGTTTTTCATCGAATTTTGATAGTTGAGTCCCTATTGTTGATGGTTGTATCCTTATAAAATCAATACATCCAAATTTTGGTTGGTTCAACCCAATTAGCAAACATGAATCAACTATAACTTCTCTAATTCTTGGTCGTTAAATCCCAAGAAAACCGTTGGTTATCATGTGGGTAATCTCACAATAAATGTGATCAACCACCCATTTGGGAATGGTAAACATACCACTTATCTGGTTGGTGGTTGACCAACCCCTCTGAAAAATGATGGAGTTCGTCAGATTGGATCATCATCCCAACTATTGGGGAAAATATCATCCAGTCATGTTCCAAACCACCAAGCAGTTATTTATGGTGAGAAATCAGAGTTTCTGGCATTGTTTTACCCACAAAATCCTCCGCTTCTCAATGGTAAAAACCATGGGTAAAAACACGATCGAAAACTGGGTGCCCTCGCGGATCTCCAAGCATCGTTTCTGCTTCAGCCGCTTGGTACGTTGGAACCTCAGCGGCGACAATTTGTGCTGTGGATTTGGTTTGAAAAACCTATGGAGGAATAGGGATTTCATAAGGATTTCACAGGGATTTTAGGGTGATTTATAGAGATTTATAGGGGAATTATAGGAATTTAGAGGGATTCTATGGGGATTTACAGGGATTTATAGTGGATTGGGATTTGCGGGGATTTATAGGGATCTTATGGAGATCTGATGGGCATTTTATGTGGATTTTGGGTGTCAGAATGGTGATTCAAGCATCAACGCAACAGGCCGCTTTAGCTTTTAGTGATATGTCTGACAAACTGAAGGTTTTGGCCTTGAAAACCAGGGTGTTCCTCTGGGTTGCGGAGTCGCCAATATTCAAAGAAACTATCTTGATCAATTCCAAGATGGCCCGATCAATCAGCATCCACGATTGACATTCACTATGAGGTAAACATCGCTTTCTTACTGGCTACGATCTTCATTTTTCTTGGTGAACCGTCACCCTATTTTCCTCCAATTTTCCCATCATTTTGGGTTTTTCCCAGAATTTTCGCATCATTTTTTCGAATTTCCCATGTTTTTCCCATGATTTCTGGGCTTTTCCCAGCCTGCCATCGGTGACCCAAAAACCACCGGCACCCCGGCCGCGCGCAAGCGAGGCCCCGGGGGCAACTTACCACGACCTCGGAGGGGATCAGGTTGGGATCTTGGAATCAGAAAATATCATGATAATGGATATATTGGAAAGTTATAAAATTATATTATATTGGATAATATTGATAATGGATAATGGATAGATAATATTGATAATGGATAATGGATAGATGATATTGATATATATTATAGTTATTCCCAATAATCAACAATATTCCAATAATAATCAACAATATTAGTATGATAATATTAGATTATAGATATTCCCAATTATATTATGTGATCAAATCATTAGGATATCTTTCATTGATCATAATATTGATAGTAGATGGATATATTGGAAAGTTATAAAATTATATTATATTGGATAATATTGATAATGGATAATGGATAGATAATATTGATAATGGATAATGGATAGATGATATTGATATATATTATAGTTATTCCCAATAATCAACAATATTCCAATAATAATCAACAATATTAGTATGATAATATTAGATTATAGATATTCCCAATTATATTATGTGATCAAATCATTAGGATATCTTTCATTGATCATAATATTGATAGTAGATGGATATATTGGACAGTTATAATATTATATCATATTGGATAATATTGATAATGGATAATGGATAATATATTAATATTTTCTGATTATAATATTGATAATGGATATGTGACAATATAGATAATATCAATATCCATATAATATCATTGATCATATAATAATCATATAAATATCTTGCTTAATATTATGATATGTTCCCAATAATATTAATAATCATAGATAATATATTAATATTTTCTGAATTTAATATTGATAATGGATAGATGATATTGATATATATTATAGATATTCCCAAAAATATAATATTGGGAAGTATTCCATATTATTAATCATATTATCAGTATATAATATTAGATGATATGATATTGGAAAGTTATCATATATTATTCCCTAGAAAATTATCATACTATCATGATATACTATAATGGTATATTATTCTGGCTTATCATGATTGGATGATAATACTAGATTAATATAAATATATGAAATATATTGGAATCATAAAATGATCATTTTTGATAGTGATAATCAAATTCATAGTAATAATTAATAGTAATAAGAAATAATAGTTGGAATCATCTTGGAGATCATGATAAGCAAAATGATAAGAATAATAGTAGTAATAATAAAAGTACTGCTAATAATAATAGTAATATAATAACAAACTAGATGTTTCCAATAAAAATAAATTATGGTGTGTTAATGATTACTAATCCAAAGTATTGGAGATTGATGAGCGATTACGATGAGTGTCAGCACATGTCAGCATGGTATTAGCATGACAATAATAATCATCAGTGTTATATACTGTAGCTAGGATACAATAATTATAGTTATTATTGTCATGATAATATCATAGTTATACTCACTTAATATACCAATAATTCTTATAACTAGTTAGTACTATATACTTGTTAGTTTATATGACGTGAGTATGCTTGCCATTTCGGATGGATCGATTTCACTGGGTCTCCCCAACCACTCTCGGGCAGCTCCTGTCGGAGGTGGGTGGACCCCAATGACTAAAGCTCCAGTTAGTGAATGTGAAAAGCCAGAAAACCCAGAACTAAACTTCAACTAAATTTCAACTAAATTTCAACTAATTAGTGAACTAAACTTTATATCAAGTAAATTTCAAGAGTGAATCTTGGCGACCATCCACTTTAGTGATCCATAGTGAACCAATTGATCAGTGAATGTGACGCCTCCAATTGTTGTTTTCCCTTAAGACCGATCCAATTTTCTCTTCTTTCTTCATCCAGTTCTGGGAAACGTAAGCAATCATCATATTCAGGAATCATCAACAATTCCAGGTGGCCACAAATCACCTATCAGTTGAACAATTCGACCAACTCATGATTCTTGGTGATAAATCCTATTCTACCATATTGAACCACCATAAAATGCTAGCATTGTATATTCATATAAATTCCCGTAAAAAAAAAGAGATCTACTTAAACAAAAAAAACTGCTGGAAAACTCAGCAAATCTTCGCCCTTCGTTCTTCCAAGCGGCTCCCCATTAAGGAGCCTTGAAACCTGGAACCGCAGGGTAGCTGTGGTTCACCTCCAGGTCATGTTCCCATAGTCCTCAGGCGATGTGAAGAATATGGATTGAATGATTACTTGATTAACCACGGGTTTTATGATGGTTAATATGTCAATATGTGGTTAATATACTGTTAATATGTGGTTACTATATGGTTGTCATATGGTTAATGATGGTTAATAATGTTATCTGGTTGGTGGTTGAGCCACCAACCCCTCTGAAAAATGATGGAGTGAAAGTCAGTTGGGATCATGACATTCCCAACTGAATGGAAAAATAATCCACATGTTCCAAACCAGCAACCAGTTATGATAAAATTATTGGCTTATCAAATATGGATTGAATAAGTGTTTGAATATGAATTACATTAACTATCAGCTGGGAAACTCTGATTGTTCCTTGGATCTACACATCCCTCCCTCCCCACTTGCGGTTCCTAAGGAAGACCAGTCTTCTCTTCTTGATGCCCGTTGGTCGTTTCAGAGGATTCCAGCTGGTTTCCATGGGGATCCCCCAATAGCTGGATGGTTGATTTCATGGAAAATCCCAATCTAAAATGGATGATTGCTTGGGGTCCCATGACAAAACGGACCCCCCCATATCTACTGAACAGCTTCTGCTCACGTCAGGCGTACTGGGATCTCCCGGCGGTTTCGCTCGCGTTGACAAACGCATTCCTCGAAGCCCACCAGCCATGCAAACATGCCGCCTGGCGGGGTTGAATCATTTGAAGGTGGTGACCCCACTGCGGGCTATACACGATTTCACAAAACCTCTATTGGGGATGGTGACGTCCAGGTTTACATTCGCCAAATTTAGACCATTCGCGGTTTGGTATGGTTGACTATAGACCATAGGCAAGGTGGGTTCTGAAGAAATTACTGTTGTGGTAAATTGCCTCTAGTCCCAGGGTCGATAGGTTCAACTCTCATATTCTCATGAAGCCGTCCAACTCTCATTCTGTCTCCTCACGTTTCTTTCAAACCCAAATTACTTTCCAAACTTCCCACGTGGAGGTTTCCTAAATTGGGGGTATCCAGAACTCATCCAAAATTTGACCATTTCAGTATTGAAACCAATGGTGACGACTGGGGATCCCTCATAATAAAAGAAACCACGAGGGTGTCGAGCAACTTGTTAGCCAATAATAATTCCCCTAATCTTGGATACAACCAGGGTCAATGAGGTTCCAGGTATAAATTTCTTCCGTAAAACTCCAATCAATAAATCCAATTCAATCATCATTTTGGTTAAGTCATGAAATAGGACACCTATTTTTTTCAGCATCACTGAACTCACACAGCCAAGGGCATCACCCCAACTTCGACTGGAGGCTTGGTCATCTGACCTTAAGCGCTTCGTCAGGGAATCCATTGGCTTCCAAGGGAACATTGGGCATCCTAAAGTTGGTTACGGGTTTCTGGTTTAACGACGAAATCCGCCAAAAAACAACCAGCTCTTCTCTCGCAAAGCCTCAAGACCATCTGGGCAAACAGTTTTTCTTGATTCCAGAATTAGAAATACGCCAATCTTGGAGACGTTTCACCTATCATCGTTTATGGCGAGTTGGACCGAAGATTTAGTCTGTCAGAAGCATCGAAAAATCCTTCCTGCGTATCATCCCCCATATGTTGCTCACGATTCTGGCCCAAATCACATCCCCGGCTGAATTATCCAGTAAACTAACACAGCTATGGACCATGGCCCAGAGATCCAGGGAGTCGTCACCACTATGACCATTCTACGACACCACCCATATTTTGGTGGTGAAAAAAAAGGTGAGGTGAATTCACCCATGACATATCCCAAGTTATGGATAAGTCATCAAATATTAGGATAATATTAGGACAATGCAAATTTTGGCGTCTATCAAAAAATAAAAGTTGCATTATCCATAATCTAAATATGAAAAATTATGATTCCATAGTGCAAAATTTAAGCGCAAAATCTATTTACTACAAGTTTTTTTTATCATTTTTGCATTGTGGAATCATACTTGTATAAATAGAGTAGTCATAATCTGTGTTTATCATAATGGGAAAAGTATAATAGATTATGATTATGATCCATAATCTTTATAGCAATCAAAATCATAATCCATACCCTCTGGTAAACGTTTACATAACTATGGAAAGATCCACCATTTTTTATGGGAAAATCCACTATTTCGACTGGGCCATTTCCAATAGCTATTTTGTTAGTTTACCAGAGGATATCAGTAAATTGGGACTGGCCACATATATGCCATATTAATAGGATCATTATCCCATATGATCCCGTAAGACAACCAATCATGGAGGGAACTCCAATAGTAAAAATTCTTCCCTTCTGCGCGCTGAGTTCCCTCGCATCCGGTGGCAGAACGAGCATCCCGCGGCCACGTGCGCAGCGCTAAATCAAAAGCCAGGCCGCGGTGTGTCAACGGAAATGGGTCTCGAGAACCAAGCATTTTAGGATATCTATCTATCTATCTGTCTATCTATCTATCTATCTCTCTATCGATCTATCGATCTATCGATCTATCGATCTATCGATCTATCGATCTATCGATCTATCGATCTATCGATCTATCTATCTATCGATCTATCGATCTATCGATCTATCGATCTATCGATCTATCGATCTATCGATCTATCTATCTATCTATGTATATCTATCTATCCATGGATCTATCGATCTATCGATCTATCGATCTATCTATCTATCTATCTCTATCTATCTCTATCTATCCATCGATCTATCGAGCTATCGCTCTATCTATCTATCTATCGATCTATCTATCTATCTATCTCTATCTATCTATCGATCTATCGATCTATCGATCTATCGATCTATCTATATCTATCTATATCTATCTATCCATCTATCCATCTATCCATCTATCCATCTATCCATCTATCCATCTATCTATCTATCTATCTATCTATCTATCTATCTATTACTATCTATCTATCTATCTAAATCTATCTATTCATCGATCTATCGATCTATCGATCTATCGATCTATCTATCTCTATATCCATCTATCCATCGATCTATCGATCTATCGATCTATCGATCTATCGATCTATCGATCTATCGATCTATCTATCTATCTATCTATATCTATCTATATCTATCTATCCATCGATCTATCTATCTATCGATCTATCGATCTATCTATCTATCGATCTATCGATATATCGATCTATCGATCTATCTATCTATCTATCTATCTATCCATCGATCTATCGATCTATCGATCTATCTATCTATCTATCTATCGATCTATCGATCTATCGATCTATCGATCTATCTATCTATCTATCTATATCTATCTATCCATCGATCTATCGATCTATCTTTCTATCGATCGATCTATCTATCTATCTATCTATATCTATCATATCCATCGATCCATCGATCTATCGATCTATCGATCTATCGATCTATCGATCGTATCTATCGATCATATCGATCCATCGATCTATCGATCTATCGATCTATCTTATCTATCTATATATTATCTATATCTATCTATCTCATCGATCGATCATATCTATAGATCTACTAGATCATCTCATCGATCTATCGATCATCGATCTATCGATCTAATCAATCTATCTATCCATCGATATATCGATCCATCCTAATCGATCTATCGATCTATCGATCTATCGATCTATCGATCTATCGATCTATCTATCGATCTATCTATCTATCGATCTATCGATCTATCGATCTATCGATCTATCGATCTATCTATCTATCTATCTATCTATCTATCTCTATATCTATCTATCCATCGATCTATCGATCTATCGATCTATCTATCTATCCATCGATCTATCGATCTATCGATCTATCGATCTATCTATCTATCTATCTCTATCTATCCATCGATCTATCGAGCTATCGCTCTATCTATCTATCTATCTATCGATCTATCTATCTATCTATCTCTATCTATCTATCGATCTATCGATCTATCGATCTATCGATCTATCTATCTATCTATATCTATCTATATCTATCTATATCTATCTATCCATCGATCTATCGATCTATCGATCTACCTATCGATCTATCTATCTATCGATCTATCGATCTATCGATCTATCTACCCATCGATCTATCGATCTATCGATCTATCGATCTATCGATCTATCGATCTATCGATCTATCTATCTATCTACCTATCTATCTATCTATCCATCTATCTATCTATCTATCAATCTACCTACCTACCTACCAATCTATATATTTATCTAACTACCTATCTATCTGTTTATCTATCTATCTATCTAACTATCTATCTATCAATCTACCTACCTACCTACTATCTACCAACCAACCAACCAACCAACCTATCTATCTATCTAACTAACTAACTTACTAACTAGCTAACTAACTTACTAACTAACTAAACTAACTAACTAAGTAACTAACTAAACTAACTAACTAACTAACTAACTAACTAAATAAATGAACTAAACGAACTAACGAACTAACTAACTAACCAACTAACTAACTAGCTAGCTAGCTAACTAAACGACTATCTATCTAACTAACTAACTTACTAACTAGCTAACTAACTTACTAACTAACTGAACTAACTAACTAAACTAACTAACTAAGTAACTAACTAAACTAACTAACTAACTAAATAAATGAACTAAACGAACTAACGAACTAACTAACTAACCAACTAACTAACTAGCTAGCTAGCTAGCTAACTAACTAACTAACTAACTAATCTATCTGTCTATCTATCTATCTTTCTATCTATCCACATCGGACAGGAAGGTATATATATATATGTGTGTGCACATATATTCATCAACCAAAAAGGGTTGAAGGTAGCCACTGCTCAAATAACGCACGCTACAGTTCCTGATGGGTTGTACTATTCACAACTTACTATTCACAACTTGCCAAACAATAGGCAGAAATATCGAAAAATCATCCAAATGTTCCAAACCACCAACCAGTTTTTGAATGTGATTGATCAGTTGCGAAGAAAATCCAGGTGGTTAAAAATCAGTCCAGCTGTGAGGTTCTCGGATTATCCCCACGTTGCCATGGCATCGTGGCTGAGGGGATACCCCAAACCCTGGTAGAGAAAAATTTGGAGAAACTCGAAGCCCCGAAAAGATCACCGTTGCTCCAAGAATTGGAATCAGAAACGAAGGAAACTGTTTCAAAGCTAAAAATGTGTTCACACCAGTTCGAACAAATCACTTCGCCCCCTCAGATTCGACAGAATCTTCCTGTGCAGCACAACAGCACAACGACGCGCCACGCGAGCATTTTTGGAGACCCACTCAACACAGCTCTTTCGCGGTGTTCCATGGTGGGCACACCCAGGACTCCCCAGATGACCTTGCAGAGTGGCGGAGAATTGCACCGGAGATGAGGACATTTAACACCAAAGATATTGGATCTTCACTACCAGAGATGAGGCAATGAAGCACCAAACGATGGGGATTCAAGTTGCACCATTGGTGAAGATTCAGCTGCGAAAGTTGGGAACCACTTGGTGAAAATATGGATGGATAGTGACCTGGATAACCATCTCAACTAATGTTATTGGTTAATCCCCATTATATAGTGATATATCTTAATATACATTGGTGAGACTGTGGATGGTTGCGAAATCCTGCACCAGTTGATAGGTGGTAAACATCCCATTATTTATAGGGTTTCAACCAAGATGATGCAGGATTTCGCAACCATCCACTGTATATCACTAACATAAATTCATAATATATATATATATATTATATATTATATATATTATATATATTATATATATTATATATATTATATATATATATTATATATATATAGATATATCCTAAATCACTATATCATAGTAAACATAATTATTACACACACATATATATATATACATATCATCTTATAATACACTAACCATGTATCATACCTATCATGATTATAATATATGGTAACCATCTCAACTCATCTCCCAGTCGTTCCACCCGGGCCCGACCCGGGCCCGGACCTGGTCAATCTTCATCACTGTCCCAGTCGTCCAGTGGATTGGTCCCCCGCCTCAACACGACAATGTCAACTGGTATCTATAATACAACTGTAAGTATAATACCTAGGATAAAGTTATAGTTGTAGCTATAGTTATAGTTATAGTTATAGCTATAGTTATAGTGATAGTTATAGTTGCAGCTATAGTTATAGTTATAGCTATAGTTATAGTTGTAGCTATGGTTATAGTTAGAGTTATAGCTATAGTTATAGTTGTAGCTATAGTTATAGTTATAGCTATAGTTTTAGTTATAGCTATAGTTATAGTTATAGCTATAGTTGTAGTTATAGTTATAGTTTTAGTTATAGCTATAGTTATAGTTATAGCTATAGTTAGAGTTACAGCTATAGTTGTAGTTATAGTTATAGTTATAGCTATAGTTATAGCTATAGTTGTAGTTATAGTTATAGCTCTAGTTATAGTTATAGTTATAGCTATAGATAAAGTCATAGTTAAAGCTATAGTTATAGTTATAGCTATAGTTAGAGTTATAGTTATAGTTATAGCTATAGTTATAGGTATAGCTATAGTTATAGTTATAGCTATAGTTTTAGTTATAGTTATAGCTATAGTTATAGGTATAGCTATAGTTATAGTTATAGCTATAGTTGTAGTTATAGTTAAAGTTGTAGTTATAGTTTTAGTTATAGCTATAGTTTTAGTTATAGCTATAGTTATAGTTATAGCTATAGTTATAGTTATAGCTATAGTTGTAGTTATAGTTATAGTTTTAGTTGTAGCTATAGTTGTAGTTATAGTTATAGTTATAGCTATAGTTATAGTTATAGTTATAGCTATAGTTATAGTTATAGCTATAGTTATAGTTGTAGCTATAGTTATAGTTATAGTTAGAGCTATAGTTATAGTTGTAGCTATAGTTTTAGTTAAAGTTATAGCTATAGTTATAGTTATAGCTATAGTTAAGGTTATAGCTATAGTTATAGTTATAGTTATAGCTATAGTTGTAGTTATAGCTATAGTTATAGCTATAGTTATAGCCATAGTTGTGGTTATAGTTATAGCTATAGTTGTAGTTATAGTTATAGCTATAGTTATAGTCTTAGTTAAAGCTATAGTTATAGTTATAGCTATAGTTAGAGTTATAGCTATAGTTGTAGTTATAGTTTTAGTTTTAGTTATAGCTCTAGTTATAGTTATAGCTATAGTTATAGTTATAGCTATAGCTATAGTTATAGTTATAGCTATAGTTATAGTTATAGCTATAGTTGTAGTTATAGTTATAGCTATAGTTATAGTTATAGCTATAGTTATAGTTTTAGTTTTAGTTCTAGCTATAGTTATAGTTATAGTTATAGCTATAGTTATAGTTATAGTTATAGCTATAGTTATAGTTATAGTTATAGCTATAGTTTTAGTTATAGTTATAGCTATAGTTATAGGTATAGCTATAGTTATAGCTATAGTTATAGCTATAGTTGTAGTTATAGTTATAGCTATAGTTATAGTTATAGCTATAGTTAGAGTTATAGCTATAGTTATAGCTATAGTTTTAGTTATAGCTGTAGTTAGAGTTATAGCTATAGTTGTAGTTATAGTTATAGTTTTAGTTATAGCTATAGTTATAGTTATAGTTTTAGTTTTAGTTATAGCTCTAGTTATAGTTATAGTTATAGCTATAGTTATAGTTATAGCTATAGTTATAGTTATAGCTATAGTCTATAGTTATAGTTATAGTTATAGCTATAGTTATAGGTATAGCTATAGTTATAGTTATAGCTATAGTTTTAGTTATAGTTATAGCTATAGTTATAGGTATAGCTATAGTTATAGTTATAGCTATAGTTTTGGTTATAGTTATAGCTATAGTTATAGTTATAGTTATAGCTATAGTTATAGTTAAAGCTATATTTGTAGTGATAGTTTTAGTTATAGCTATAGTTATAGTTATAGTTATAGCTATAGTTATAGTTATAGCTATAGTTATAGTTATAGCTATAGTTGTAGTTATAGTTATAGCTATAGTTATAGTTATAGCTATAGTTATAGTTATAGTTTTAGTTTTAGTTATAGCTCTAGTTATAGTTATAGTTATAGCTATAGTTATAGTTATAGCTATAGTTATAGTTATAGCTATAGTTGTAGTTATAGTTTTAGTTCTAGCTATAGTTATAGTTATAGTTATAGTTATAGCTATAGTTATAGTTATAGTTAAAGCTATAGTTATAGTTATAGCTATAGTTGTAGTTATAGTTTTAGTTCTAGCTATAGTTATAGTTATAGTTATAGCTATAGTTATAGTTATAGTTATAGCTATAGTTATAGTTATAGCTATAGTTATAGTTGTAGCTATAGTTATAGTTAGAGCTATAGTTATAGTTGTAGCTATAGTTTTAGTTGTAGTTATAGCTATAGTTATAGTTATAGCTATAGTTGTAGTTATAGTTATAGTTTTAGTTATAGGTATAGTTTTAGATATAGTTTTAGTTATAGCTATAGTGCCAACAAAGAATCTGTATAAATTCCTACAACTTTGTTGGTCATGTTTCGATACTCTGCAAAAAAACATGCCTTTAGCTGGTCATTAAATCTCCCCACTATCACAAATCATCCAGCTAAGGTCGACCAAAGTATAGGTAGTTGACATAAACCCTTGAGTATAGGTAGTTGACATATACCTATACTAAGGTAGTTGGTTTAAACCCTAAGTTGGCAAAAAGTGAAATATCAGGTATAAACTAACTTAGCCAACATCAATCAACTTTCAAGGTCCACTTTTGCATAGTCGCTGAAGCCCACCTTGAAGAAAAACGATGCAAATCACAATGCTTAGTGGTTAAACCGGGAAGCAGACTCATTTCAATACTTTTTAGAATTTTAGAATATGAAATTGTGATTTGATACAGTGTTTTGTTCCAGTTTGTCCTTAATAATTTCAATACCACCAGAAAAAAACTGGGACACCCAAAAAACCCCGAAGAGTCGCCAGGTCACTTTCTCATGACCCGATAGAACTCGTCAGGGTTGATGAGGCCGTCCCCGTCGCGGTCTGCCTGACGTGCCATCGTCTGTTCTTCGGGATGATGTGGGATCATAATGGGATTACATGAGCATATATATATAATATTCGTATAGTATATATATATATATGAGGATTGTGGGCGTTGGATTCGGATTGCGGGGATATACTTTCTAAAGGTATGACAGATCTATGTATGTAATGTATGTAATGTATGTAATGTATGTAATGTATGTAATGTATGTAATGTATGTAATGTATGTAATGTATGTAATGTATGTAATGTATGTAATGTATGTAGTTTATGTAGTGTATGTAATGTATGTAATGTATGTAATGTATGCATGCGTGTATGCATGCATGTATGTATGTAAACCGATGAAAGGGCCAAAATATCCTAAGAAGTGATCTTGCTTTGCTGAGATCGCTTGAGGACTATGGGTTTGAGGAGCTAACAAAGTGGTTGGGTTGTGGGGTATCCCAGTCTGCCCCAATGCAATGTGGTTATTGATGGGTTTTGAATGGATTGTTTGTGCGCTGCAAAAAACGGCCACCTACTGTGCGGAACGAGCCAACTCGACGATTGCCCACGTCTTCTTTTGCCTTGATACGCACCTAGATGCAACTGAACTGACCTTGGACTCTGGAGCTATCACCCCCATGATCTTGATCACCCCATGTCACGACCTTTCCGTTTGCCAATGTGGCAGCAAAAGCTCTGTCTGCGGCACAAATCTGCCGAACATTCTTCAGCTGATCTTGGACTGCAGTGCTGTCCCCACCAGAGTCAGCCATGCCCCATGTCACCACTCTTCCGCCTGCCACAATGGCAGCAAAAGCGCCCAATGTGCCGTGAATCTGCTGAACATCCCATAGCTGATCTTGGACTGCTGTGCTGTCACCACCTGACTCAGGATAGCCCCAAGTCACCACCTTGCCATCGGCCAAAATTGCAGCAAAAGCAGAGTCTGTGGCACAAATCTGCTGAACGTTCCTCAGCTGATCTTGGACTGCAGTGCTGGAACCTCCAAAGTCAGGATTGCCCCAAGTCACCACCTTGCCATCTGCCAGAATGGCAGCAAAAGCATAGTGTGTGGCAGAAATCTGCCGAACCTCTTTCAGCTGATCTTGGACTGCAGTGCTGTCACCACCTAACTCAGGATAGCCCCATGTCACCACTCTTCCATCGGCCAAAATTGCAGCAAAAGCAAAGTCTGTGGCACAAATCTGCTGAACGTTCCTCAGCTGATCTTGGACTGCAGTGCTGGAACCTCCACAGCCAGGATTGCCCCAAGTCACCACCTTGCCATCTGCCAGAATGGCAGCAAAAGCAGAGTCTGTGGCACAAATCTGCTGAACGTTCCTCAGCTGATCTTGGACTGCAGTGCTGGAACCTCCAAAGTCAGGATTGCCCCAAGTCACCACCTTGCCATCTGCCAGAATGGCAGCAAAAGCAGAGTCTGTGGCACAAATCTGCTGAACGTTCCTCAGCTGATCTTGGACTGCAGTGCTGGAACCTCCAAAGCCAGGATTGCCCCAAGTCACCACCTTGCCATCTGCCAGAATGGCAGCAAAAGCAGAGTCTGTGGCAGAAATCTGCCGAACCTCTTTCAGCTGATCTTGGACTGCAGTGCTGTCGCCACCCTGTCTGGGGTCACCCCATGTAGCAATCCTGTCAGATCCGACACGCCACAAAGCAAAGGCGGCCCGTGTTGCAGCTAACTTTGGCTGCTGTGCGATGGCTGTAATGCTGTCTCCTTCTTGGAGCCCACAGAGCTTGAGAGGTTCAGTTGGTCCCAAAAGGCACCCGTCGGACGCAGCTAGCCTTAGGAAACTTTGTCCCAAAGCCTGTTGGGCAGCTATTTTCAGGTCACCAACGGTGCCATGTTGCGGGACTGAGACAGTTTCACACCACCCACTTGGCAGAGACACATCAAGCTTCAAATTGGTGTCAGCCTGACCACTTGCTATCAGGCTCTGCATGGCTGGCAAGTCTTAGTTAGTTGGCTGATTCTGGTATTGAACCCGTTACAAAAAGCGAAAGTTGCGCAATTCCTAAAACAGAAAATGACATAAGCATCGCAGGATCTCCTCATTTTCTTCCCTTCTTGGCTATGATTTTGGATGCTTTAGGACCATCGAGCAGGGCCATAACCATCAGTCTTGTAGCTGAGGTCCCCAAATCAGCTATCAAATTATACTATTCACTATTCAAACATCTGTACTATTATCTATACTATTACAAATATCTATACTATCTGTAAAGGGTGTTCTGTAACATCCATATCACTGTTCATCCTGAATTACATTCGAAAAATTACAGTTGGTTCCTATTGTTCATACTTTTTCCCCCTTTCCGTCCCCACAATTTTCAGTCATCACCACGTTGTTTGTTGATGTTGTCGGTCTGGTGATTTCCATAGTGATTACTCAACAGGTCCAACTCAGCCAGCTTTACCCCAAATGATGGTTAATATTAATGGTTATTATATGGATAATGATAGTTAATAATGTTATCTGGTTGGTGCTTTGAAGGTTTGAACACTACCCCTCTGAAAAATCTGAGTGAAAGTCAGTTGGGATTGTTATTCCCAACTGAATGGAACAATAGTCAAAATGTTCCAAAGCACCAACCAGCTATGTCATGATTCCACCAGATTTGCTGTGCAATCTTGGGATGGTTCCCTGTGCCAAACAGCGCGCAGCCAGAGCCAGATAGCATTGGGGCGTACCCAATGGCCATGGGCAACTAGACGACGGATGGCCCGAGAGCGTAGAGGAGCAGAGTCTTCTGTTGTTAGTATGGAGACACTATATTACAAGATAATATATTAAAGATGTATTATAGGCAGACGAGAAGAGTAGTATCAAGACAATATATGACTAGTACAAGACAATAGTTTGCATCGTATTTTTGTAAAGTTTTTCATACACAGAACTTTTTACAGAGACTTTTACACACAGAGACTTTTACACACAGAGACTTTTACACACAGACGCTTTTACACACAGACGCTTTTGCACACAGAGACTTTTACACACAGAGACTTTTACACACAGAGACTTTTACACACAGACGCTTTTACACACAGACGATTTTGCACACAGAGGCTTTTACACACAGAGCCTTTTACACACAGAGACTTTTACACACACAAACGCTTTTACACACAGAGCCTTTTACACACAGACGCTTTTGCACACAGACGCTTTTACACACAGACGCTTTTACACACAGACGCTTTTACACACAGACGCTTTTTACACACAGGCTCTTTTACACACAGACGCTTTTACACACAGACGCTTTTACACACAGATGTTTTTACACACAGACGCTTTTAAACACAGACGCATTTACACACAGACGCTTTTACACACAGACGCTTTTACACACAGACGCTTTTACACACAGACGTCTACACACGAACACTTTTACACACACACACACACTTTTACACACAGACGCTTTTACACACAGATGCTTTTACACACAGACGCTTTTACACACAGACGCTTTTACACACAGACGCTTTTATACACAGACGCTTTTACACACAGACGCTTTTACACACAGACGCTTTTACACACAGAGGCTTTTACACACAAACACTTTGACACACAAACACTTTTACACACAGACGACGCTTTTACACACAGACGACGCTTTTACACACAGACGCTTTTACACACAGACGCTTTTACACACAAACACTTTTACACAGATCCACTTGTACACACCAACACTTTTACACACAAACATCTTTCCACCGAAACACTCCGACACACAAACACGTTTACACACAAACACTTTTACACACAGAAGCTTTTACACACAAACACGTTTAAACAGATGCAATTTTACATACAATCACTTTTACACACAAACATCTTTACACAGAAACACTCGTACACACAAACCCGTTTAAACACAAAGACTTTCACACACAGAAGGTTTTACACACAACACTTTTACACAGATGCACTTGTACACACAAACACTTTTACACACAAACATCTTTACACAGAAACGCTCGTACACACAAACCCCTTTTCCTTTCGTGCGAAAGGGTTGCTCCAGCACACGAAAAATCGCAATTTTACCTCAGTTTTTGCCGATCGACCCTCATTTCGTGCGAAAGGGTTGCTCCAGGACAAGTAAAATCGCAATTTTACCTCAGTTTTTGCCGATCGATCCTCATTTCGTGCGAAAGGGTTGACGTTTCGTGACTCGCCGCCGGTACCACCCTCGGCCTAAAGAGAGAAAGATAAAGAAGGCGAGAGAGAGAAAAGGGAGAGAGAAAAGGCAGATGTGAAGATGAGCAGATGTGAAGATGAGCAGATGTGAAGATGAGCAGATGTGAAGATGAGCAGATGTGAAGATGAGCAGATGTGAAGATGAGCAGGTGTGAAGATGAGCAGGTGTGAAGATGAGCAGATGTGAAGATGAGCAGATGTGAAGATGAGCAGATGTGAAGATGAGCAGATGTGAAGATGAGCAGATGTGAAGATGAGCAGATGTGAAGATGAGCAGATGTGAAGATGAGCAGATGTGAAGATGAGAAGGTGTGAAGATGAGCAGATGTGAAGATGAGCAGATGTGAAGATAAGCAGATGTGAAGATGAGCAGATGTGAAGATGAGCAGATGTGAAGATGAGCAGATGTGAAGATGAGCAGGTGTGAAGATGAGCAGGTGTGAAGATGAGCAGATGTGAAGATGAGCAGATGTGAAGATGAGCAGATGAGATACAGACCCCCACTATTGGAAGAACCCTGCGCTCAGACGCTCTCGGGAATTAAGAAAGTGACATGGCAACCCGCGTCCAAAGATGCATAAAGTAAAATCCAGTCCTATAACAATCCCAAAACAACAATAAAGTAACCTTATTTTTTTCGGGTTACCATTATATCCTGTTTAACTCGAATACTGCAACTAATAGCAGTGATTAAAGCCCTCTAATGTCCCAATATACTACAGTAGTTGGTTCCTAGGAACTCCCACTTCGTTTCTTGTGACAGTCCGTTGATGTATATGTATATGTATACTATATGTAGATGTAGATGTATATGTAGATGTAGATGTACATGTATATATATATATTAATATATGTAGATGTGTAGATGTACATGTACATGTATGTGTAAATGTATATGTACATTAGATAAGTTATACAAAGGATAGTATAACCCCCCTTTACTAATCATCAACAGAGCTATCGATCAACACCATCACTTCGCGTTGCGACCTCTTCGATCATTTCCTGCAACTCTTCGTCTGTCAAGCTCTCGCCCAGCTCCTTGCGGAAACGGGCTGGATTTCGAGGGTGAAAAATCGAAGAGTTCGTCAAAATCGAGACAGCCATATGTACAAAATTAACAATAGTGATAACTGTTGATATATATATATAAGAAACAATGATAACTATATCGTCTTTAAAAAAATCGATCAACCACAGTTAATTACACCCGACTGAGTCGATGCAAACTCACCAAGAAACAATGGGATATGACAGGGTGACCGATCAGATGTGACCAGCAATTATAGGTGCTACTCTCTGGTCAATTCTTGCCGGAATTGAATGGAAAAATGGATGATTCCATTGCGAGAATCTAGCCCCAAAAACAAACTGTTTGCTTCCAAACCTGAATGGGAAGAGAACCAAATATGATTTCGCAGATATTTAACTGTCTTTTGTTCGAATTGTTTGTGGCACCAATCATGTTATGTCTTTTAATCTCATAGTTATATATATATGTATATTCATATATTAATATAACTATTAATCATAAGCTGTCTTTTAATCAATCTTTCATTGGAATGTGTGCCTTTTTTTTTGTGCCCAGGGATAGTGATCATCCCACTACAGGATTTTGAGGCAACTTGCAGGCCTGGATTCCTGGATAAGTTGCTAAGCGGAGATGATTGGAGTTACCAACATTAAGCAACATTAACCAGCATTAACCAACCAACCAACATGCTATGCAGATTTTCTATGCAACATGAAGCAACATTAGTAACATTAACCAACCAACTGGTCACATTTTGAACATGTAATGCCAGATGCCGGAGCCGCAACCTGTGCGATGCGCTTCAGGTTGCGAAAGGAGATCTTTCCCTTGTCGTCTTCGTCGAAGAGCGCGAAGACCTGTGATATTTTGAAATCATGGGAACACATGGCGATATATGGCCATAGTAATGGTTATATACATACAGTTACATGTGTATATATCTGTGGCATATATTATATTATATTATACTATATTATATTATATTATACTATAGTATATTATAGTAATATATATATATATACACATTATATATATATAATTTATATATAGGCTATATGTGGGTCATATCTGGTTCCATACATGATATGTATGGGGATGGTTCAAAACCAATAGTGCCGATAGTGCCATGTAGCAGCTTGGACCCAAGGCTACCCGGATTTCTGATCCGTCGCCGGGGATGGAGTGGAAAACACACACGGTCATTTCACCATTGCGGTATAAACGCGCTGTTCAAAAACAACAGTAGCAAGGAGAATGTACGTATATGTACGTATATGTACGTATATGTACGTATATGCACGTATATGCACGTATATGCACGTATGTATGTAATGTAATGTAATGTAATGCAATGGAAATATACTCAATCCAGGATTCGATGGGCATAATACAAAGCAATATTGTAAAACAAAGCAAAACAATAATAGAGCACACAGGAGCAGAAAAAAACTCACCATTTCATATATACACACATACAGTACACACCCTATGTGGGGGATGGGATATGGCTGGGAGTTGCCAGCCGAGCTTCCGGAACCGGGAAACCGGCCTTGTCAATCTCTGCTCTGGAGTTCTTGTCTGGCATCCTGCAGGAAGATGGGGATGAATCATGGTTTAGAACTAGGCACCGAATAGGACTTTATTATAGCTTCTATATGGGTTTTATATGTTTTTTTTTGGGGGGGATATCACAAAAAACTATCAACACAATTGGGACTTGACTCTTTCTTTTTTTCTATGGAATGTTCCAAATCCCAAAAACACCCCCTTGACATAGCATTCGTTGGGATATACCCTCTGGTAATTTAACATAGCTATTGAAAATGGCCATTTATAGTGGATTTTCCCATTAAAAATGGTGATTTTCCATAGTTATGTTAGTTTACCAGAGGGTAATCTGGTTGGTGGTTTGAACCCTACCCCTCTGAAAAATCTGAGTGAGTGAAAGTCACTTGGGATGATGACATTCCCGACTGAATGGAAAATCATCAAAATGTTCCAAACCACCAACCAGATAATGGTTAGCCGATGGTTCACGTTTAATGTCGTCCCAAAAAACTGCTTCAAAAAAACATATTGGGGAGCATCATATCCTATGTCCATGGTTGAAACAGTTGAAACGAAGATATGGAGGTTTCCATAGTCATGGGGCTGCCCCAAAATAGATGGTCTATGTCATGGAATTTCCTACTAAAATTGCAAACATAGATGATTTCGGGGTTCAGTACCCCTATTTCAGTACACCTCCATATTGCTTTGAAAGAACCAATCAGCCAAATGGAAGATTTTATCAATCCCTGAGAGTTGATCTGGGCCTGTAGGAAGTCTCCCCAGATTTTCTGGGCCCCCTGGAACGAGAAGTGGCGAAAAAAAGCACGGCTTTTTGGAGCAGTTCAGGTATATAAAATTATATAACTAAGTTCTATAACTAAGGTTAGAATCCACCCATCTTTCCGGTCAATTCTCCTTAAGAGCCCGCCCTTGGAAACGGTCGCCTGCCCTTCATCATTTCACAGAACTCGTCAAAGTTGATGGGCTGAGATGGGTCCTCTCGCAAGAAATGAGATTTGGTTGACCAGCCATTGGAGTTTTGGTTGACAGCCCAACATTGAATGGTGCACAGGAAAAGCATATCCATTTGACCTGCAAATTGCTGGACCAAAGTGACCAAAGTGCAAACAATTGCCAGGTTACAGCTTGTTCAACGCAGGGCATTGTCTCATCGCCAGAAGCAAACGTGGAATCATCTTCGAACGCCCGACGTACACAGATTTCCGTCCTTGCCGATGTCAGCCAACATCTTTCTAACCTGGTTCCCATGGGTCAGTTTTCAGGATTTCTGCAAGGTTCATCACCGGCCAAAATCTAAATCACATCGAACACGTGGAACTCTGGGAATCATGACTTGTGCTTCGTGGGGAATGGGCGAATGACATGATTCTTGATAGTTATTATAGGTCATTGACCCATTCCCTACGTTTAGATCGTTTAGCACCAGTCATGAGGTAAAGATCTACCACATCATGGCGAAAAGCCTGTCCCCCTGGTAACCTGGGTTTCCAGCCATGTTGAAGTCCCAGAAGCTACGTATTTGGCCGCTCGTTTCTATGGCTTTTCGGCCCAATTTCTACAGAGACATTCCTTTACCACCATCGTCATGACCATTTTGATTGTAACAATGACTTTCTAAACTGTTGGATTTTAGGGCATCCAGGGGTGCGTGTGACGCCCCTCAATAGCTACCAGAATACCATCATTTTCCAATGGTATATATGGATGCTTGCCTGATAGAATTGGGGATGTGTCAAAACAATTCAAAACCTACATTGTCATATTCTAGTCTATTTTGGTGTCAACAGAAGGCTGCCAAAAAATGTACCCATAGCCATGTATGAAAACTTGAATGTGGGCTTGCCTGAACATATTATTGTCCCCCCCAAAAAATCCACTGGCTAATCATCATGTCATTTTGTTGGTTGTATATCCCCACTCTGTCCCCATTAAATCATATCGAATCCCCATTCTATCTCATCAAAATCCCCAATTGACCCGGCAGCTTTTAGGTTTCCAGGCTTCCAGTGTCATTCCGGCTTCCGTTCTGGTTTATCCTGGGACCTGCTCCCCTTAAAATGCTAAAAATCGCCATTTTCAAGGGTGAACTCCCCAATTTGTGATGGTCTCAAGTTGAATCCCCACATTTTGCGCGAATTTTCGGATTTGCCAACAAGACGCCTTTCTTTTCATTCCCAATTTCTGCCAAACGAATTTCTGAAGCGAAAAAACACTGGGCTTAACTAACCCATCATTTATATTGGCTAGTATAATCGCCAATATATTGGCTAGTAGTACAATCCCATATATTCTGGAAAATAAGAAATGTTCCAAACTACTAACCAGTCCTTGAAATATTGGCGAGTTTTTTTCATCCCCGAACTCATCAAGCAACGACGGGGCTAGATCGCAGCCACTTGGGCGCCGCGGCATCTTCTTTCTTCACTTCAAATCCCAATGCTCTGAGAGCCGCCTGTCGAAAATCATCTGTGGGCCAGGGAAATCCTGCACCTATTCATGGGATGGGGAAGAAAGCCAAAGAAAATAATGGGATGTAAAAACCACCAAAAAAAAGTGGTGCAGGATAATTTTTTTCCCACCCACAAGAAGTGTATATATATATATATACAGCCTATTTATGGTATATGTTAGAACTACAACTGATATAGACTTGGATCGATTTAAGGTAATATGTTAGAACTATGTATTTATTCACCCAACATGTTTTTTTAACCATGGGATCAAGAACCAGCAACAGGTATATTTTAGATAAATTTAAGTGATATAACCCGCAACCATGGGATGTGTTACCCACTGATAATCATGGCCGGAACACCCCCATGTATTGCGGGGAAACTCCATTGCCAACTTGGGAGAGTTTTCTGGAACACGTTTTGTGGGGGGTAAAGGAAACCAAAATAAACCAAACTCATTTCCAGAACTGTTCGGTCTATCGGTGATATCAGCTGAAAAAGTAGATCATGTCCATCATTCTGAGATCTTGCGGAAGCGAGGGGGTCTGCTCTCCGCTTCTGATCTTTGGGAATAGCTGAGTTGATTCGGCATAGAAATCATGGAATTGATTCAGCCGAAAACATGAAATTCACCTGGTAGAGAAGTTGAGTTTTTGTTGTTAGGTCAATCCTTTACCCTCTGGTAAACGTTTACATAACTATGGAAAATCACCATCTTTAATGGGAAAATCCACTATTTCGACTGGGCCATTCTCAAGTTCGCAAACTGTTAGTCATAACCAGAGGGTATATCATCATACATCCCATTAAATCCCATGAAATGCCATTGAATCACCATTGAATCCCATTAAAACACCAGACCTACATCCAGTGCCATTCCTTGCGGCTACAAATCCTTGAGGCTGCGGCCCGTTCGTTCAACGGGGAAAATGCACAGCTTTCGGATCAATCCCTTCCCTCAAAGAATCCCCACGGAATTTACCCCCGAAGTCTGGGAGATCTTTTTTGATTTTGGGATCAGAGGGGTAATATGAAAAACACCCCCTGAGAAACCATGGGTTTAGTAGGGAATTTCCAAACATGATCGGTAAATGTGATGTGATGTTGATTTTGTTTAACCTTTCAACCATTGATTTCTTCAAAAATGGCTTAATCTATATTCATAACCCATCATCAAACATGTAAGATCCTCATCAAACCAATTTTGTGTATATAAAGCCCATATCCCTCGGGGATACTCCATATACATATCAGACATTGGTTATTCATCATATTCACTATCCCCATTATTCATCAACATCACAGTGTATATGTAAAGAACGATATCCCGGTCCTACATCATCAAACATATGTATGTGTGATTTTATAGTTGATTTACAAAAAAAAGAAAATGGTGATTTTCCATCGGTTTTTTGTATGTTCACCAGAGGCTAACCAGTTTTTGTTTATAATGTGGTTAAAACAATCATAAACCACCATAAATGGGTGGTATAAACCATCAAAAACGGGGTGGTTTATGATTGTTACTTATTGCTTTAACCACATTATTACTATCAACTATAACTATCAACTAATTTATGGTATAGATATATGATTATTGAATATTAATAATTAGTTGATAGTTACTAAAATAGGTGGTATGTTTACCATTCCCAAATGGATAGTTTATTATTGTTTTAACCGCATTGCTTAGCCAATATCTCTGGGGGATATTCCATCCATTCCAAAGGGTGGAATCCTGTACCTTGAGCTCGCGTGCGTCGATGGCCCCGGAGCGTTCCGTGTCGAAGAGGCTGAAGGCCTCGCCGCGCGCGACGCATGCGCGATGCATGCATCGCGCAGCGTGGGACCCAATGGGCGAAGTGAAAACGTTGGGAAAATGGTGAAAAACACGGGGAAAACCATGCAAAACCATGGAAAACCTTGGGAAACCTGTGGGTTTTATAATATTCATGAATACTTTGGGTGCGAATTACCAAACAACTCTAGGCTCTAGTTGATTCATGCATATATATAATATATATATATATACCGTGGGGCTATGAAAACTCTAGTCAGCTCATGACAGGTTCAGACCTGCAGCTGATTACGTTCCCACATCAACGCAACTTCAAAACCTGATTTTGCGAATCCCTTCTGTTCTTTGTTGCAACCCGCATATATATATATATATACGGCAGGGGGAGGAGGTTCCCCGAGAGGACGTCAATCAGGATCATTGAATTGGAGAAAAAACAGTGTTTCACTGTGGTAAAATGGAGATTTTACATGTCGTTCTTTTCATTGTTGATGTCTTTCAATTACGGATCAATTTTTTTTCGTCCGTCGAAGTTGAAGTCAATTATGGACCATCACAAAATGTTTTTTTTGGTGTTCTTATTTTCTCCATTGGAATTACGAGGTGCACATTTTGTGCTATATCAAAGATCATTGGAAAAGGGTATAATATACTGTGTTTCCACAGGTATTTTGATGTGATGTTGTTTTTCCTTGGTAATTCACAGTGATTTTGCGTATCATCAAAATTTCCGAGTGCTGTGAGTCAGCTGTTTTTCTGTTTTTATACAAAAGCATTAGTACAAGACATATCAACCACTATAGAAAGCACAAACCCGACCAATTCAAATGTTATTCTATGCAAGAAGATACCATCGTAGAACATTAAAATAAAATATAACTGGGATAAATCGTTATTTGGGTTCCGCCACACACGCCGCAATCGTCGCCTCCAATTCTACGCCAGTTACATGAACGTTTTTACACCCCACCCCACCCCACCCCAGCCCACCCCTTCCCCCCGCATGACTCATGCATGACAAGTACAAGAGAACTTACACTAGCGTAGCATGACGTATGCGTGACAAGTACAAGATAACTTACACTAGCGTAGCATGACGTAGACGTCACAATTACAAGAGAACTTACACTAGCGTAACATGGCATATGCCTGAGAAGTACATAACATGACTTTAGAATGACCGTAACATCCACGTAGCATGCACGTCGCCTCCAATTCTACGCAAGTTACATGAACGTTTTACATTCCACACCCCACCCCACCCCTTCACGCAAGTTACATGAACGTTATTACACCCCACCCCACCCCACCCCACCCCCTTCCCCACTCGGGGAACCCCCGCCCCCAAGGGTATATATATATATACATACATACATACATACATACATACATACAGCATATATCTGATTATATATATATATGAAAATATCTGTGTGTATTCTTTTGGTTTATTCTTGGGATTTTTTATCGCAATGTTTTTTTTCGCCTCGCGAATCTCCTCCTTCTGTTCATCATCCAGGCCCTGTCGAGTGTCCAACTTCTTCCGGCCGGACCTGGCCGTTGAGGGCCGACGCTACGCCGCTACGCGCTTCGTAGGAGGCACGTCTTAGGGCAGAAAAAAAAAGATGGGGAATGGGGGAGATGTTTCATCTTAGTGGATACTATCATCTAAATATATATATACATATGTGTATATATATATATACATATTGTAATTTCCACATTTGATTCCAACCATCCGGTCACGGTCATGCCTTGAGGACAACAACAATCCAGACCCTGTCAGGTATCAAAACAACACTGCCTTCGAAAGGCATTTTCGGCTCTGGGAGCTAGGCAGCGGGTGGGAGGGTTTTCTCCATTGCCTTTTAGCCATAGTGGTTGCATAGCAGACAGGGTCTGCAATTGGTGCCATTCCTATCTTGAAAAGGACGAGGCCGTCCCCGGGTTCTTGGTAAGTGGCCTGTGGCCAAAGGCTATTCATAAGACAGTGGATTCCGCTGGACCTTGCAACGAGCTGGGAAAACTGACTGAGTGCTTTGGGAAGCTTGTGGTCAGGGAACAGTTTTGTATACAGCAACATCATTTTGGACATTTTGTCTACTTTACTGATTTTGCTCCTGCCAATCACATTGGTAGCGGAGCTGCCAAAGCGCAGCATCCGGGAAGATGGAAACAACAAGTGGTGGTGATGGTAGCAGCAGTACGGTCACAAATCAGCTGGCGTCACTGGTGCCATCATTCGATCCGTCAAAGGATGACATGCGACAGTATCAACAACGGGTGGAGCTTGTCACAGCAGCCTGGCCTAAAGGCCGGTACACTGAGCTGGTCACAAGGCTCATACTGAATTGTTCAGGCAGCGCATTCGCCAAGCTGCAACTGAACCATCAAGAGCTTTTGGCCAATGAAGAGAAGAGTGTGCATAAGCTGGTCGAGTTGCTAGGTGGGTCATGGGGCAAGGTGGAACTCGAGAATCAGTACGACGATGCTGAACAGGCTTTGTTCAACACGGTTCAAAGGGGAGACGAAAGTCACGACTCATATCTGGCCCGTGCTGATGTGGCATGGAGCCGGCTTTTGAGCAGACGCCTGACTCTCGAGGAGCTCCAAGCCTACATTGTCCTCCGAGGCTCAGGGCTGACACCCGAAGAGAAGAAGCGTGTGATCTTAGATGCAGATCAGAGTTCATCTGGAAAGCTGACCATGAAACGTGTACATGAAGCAGTTCGTCTTTTGGGGGCATCATTTTTCATGGACATGACAGGTCAAAAGCGAAACAATCGTACAAAGGTCTATACACAGGAGACTCTGGTGGCTCAAGATGACCAGGAAGAGCCAGAGGATCCAACTTTTTGGACAAACGATGAAATGACGGATGAAGATTACATTGACTCTTTGGTTCAAGCTGGGGAAGAGGATGCGACATTAGTCGCCGACTTCGAAGAGGCGGCGGCAGAAGCTCTTCAAGAAGATCCCAGTCTGGCCAGTGCATACACAGCATATCAAGATGCTCAAAAAGCCCGGAACCGTGGATTTTGGGCGGTGTCCAAGAACCCAACATATTCTGGCAATTCCAAGGGGAAACAGAATTTTTCCAAAGGGGCTTCAAAGGGCAAGCACGGTTTTTCAGGAGGCCGTGGTCGACGATCATTGCAGGATCGAATCATGAATTCTCACTGCCGGATATGTGGTCGCAAAGGCCATTGGCGGGCAGAATGCCCACAAAGGGGTCAAAGTAGTCAATCAACTGCAGCCGGATCAGCCACCAGCACATCCATGCCCACCACCAACGTGGTGCCCGTGACGGAAGAGGGAGTTGATGCACTGCCGCTGGAATTCCTCCAGCTTCCCGTCGTGCATGAATCCACCCTGGATGAGGAGACCAATGCCACCGATGTGCTGTTTTGTAGTTGTTTAATGGGTAACCCATCACCACCGAAGTATCCTTTGGGAAGGTTGCTTAATGTTGAAGGGAGCCTAAGCCAAAATCACCCCAATGAGAATGACATGTGTTTCATGAGACCCTCCATGAGCCAATTGCACAACACCCTCCGCAGGAGAGCCAGTGAGCAGTCCAATCGTTGTCGCAATAAGCTTAGGAATCGTGTCCAGCGTCAGTCAACAGCCCAGGTCTCATCGCAAGTCCGCGTAGGCCTCCAAACTGCCAGTGTCCAGAACAAAGTCCATAAGTCTCAAGTCACTCCAGTTGTAAGCATGAATAATCCACAGGTTGAAACCTTAGATGATGTCATTTGCTTTGCAACCCATGGAACCCATGGGGTACTGGACCTTGGAGCATCCAAAACGGTTATTGGTAGTGAGTTCGTGCCGAGCTTAATTCAGGGACTTCAAGAATGCATCCCTGGGAAGATCCGCAGGTGTTCGTGCCGCATCACATTTAGGTTTGGCAATCAGGGGACACTCACGTCAGAACAAGCACTTGTCATACCAATCGGAAAGTTGATGCTGAAGGTAGCAATTGTTCCAGGTCGAACACCATTTTTGCTGAGCAACTCGTTGATGCGTGCCTTGGAAGCCCGCATTGATTGTAGCACATATACCCTGACGAATCCCATGTTCACCAAGAAAGTTCCATTGGATCTCACCAGCCGAGGTTTGTTTTTGCTTGATGTTTGCAAACTCATCCATAGTGCCAGTGTGAGGGACGCCAAGGGTCAAGTGGTTGCGGCAGAGACCGGTGTCGAGACACACATTGCCCACGAGGAAGAAAGTCGCCGACCGATCAGTGAACAGGGTCAGCCAACCAACAGTGTCCAAACAACCAGTCAGTCAAGTGCCGAAACCCATAAGGGTCCCATAAAGGGGTTAGACTCAGATAATCTGGATAAAGGGGATAAGGTAAAGGGTGTAATTGCCTCAAGTGTTCAGCCTGCCGTCCACTCGTCCAGTGAGTACCAAAGGGTTTCAGTTGCACAGCATGTCAACAAATGGAATATCATCTCACAGATGTCGTCAGATCGAGAACATCCACAGGTTGTGGTTCAAGATTCGCCCAGTGAAGGACCCTGTCATAGATCAATCGTAAAGAGTCATGTCCAACCAATTGACTCTGAGCCAGCGATTGAAGAATGCCCGGGAGCAGGACGGGAGGACCGAAGTGGAAGCCATGACGATGGCACAGCTGTCAAAGGAACGTGTGACGTTCGGAGCCAAGTATGTCAATTACACATACCAGCACATGTGGGACAATCACCCAGACTGGATTCAGTTCATGGTGGATCGCTATGCCAACAGCGAGAAGAAGGATCATCAGAAGCTGATGCGATTCGTGAATCTGAAGCTGGAGTGTGTGGAGAGTGCCCAGGACCAGATGCCAGTCATGCCAAAGCGAAGCCAAGCCCGAGGATCTCTGGGCCAACAGGCAAAGTACAAGGCAATGCCCCAGCCCAAGGCAAAGGCCAAGGGGTATTCGACTTCTCAGGGATCAGTCGAAGATCAAGCCTTCGAAATGCCTATCAGCGACCAATGGGAGGAGGACTTCGAGGACATCGATGCAGCACACGAGTCGTTCTGCCCGGAGATTATGACGGACGAATCGACTCACCAGAACACCGAGGTGATGCAGTCCAGGATCACCAACATCGAGCATGCTCTCCAGCAGGTCATCCGACACCTGGAGAATCCGATGCCCATCAACCAGGGCGACCACCACCTGGACCAGAACTTGTGAGAGTGGATAATCTATCAGATCCGTGCCTGTCAGCCAGCCATGAGACAAACCGAGTGCATTCGATCATCCAACAGATCACTCAGGAATTGCAAAGGGTGCTATCGAGAACCAACCCAATTGGTAAGTCGTACACACTAGCTGAAGTGTTTTGCAGCAGTCAGTCACCACTGACACAACAGGTCAATGCACTCGGCCAAAAGGCAATTCGGTTTGGCTATGATCAAGGAGACCTTGCCACAGTGGAGGGTCGGGTTGCTCTGTTTACACAGATAGCCGTTCACCGTCCAGAACATGTGTGGTTTAGCCCCACGTGTGGTCCGTGGTCATCATGGACAAACCTGAACATGTCCCGGTCTCTTGAACATTTTCATGAGTATCAACATCAAAGGGAACAACTCCTATATCAAGTAGCTTTGGGGATTGTTTTGTGTAGGCACCAAATCAGTCATGGGAGGCACATGCATTGGGAGCAACCTGGCCGATCATTCATGCTGCGTTTGCACTGCATGCAAGAGGTCCATAGCTACACCCAAGCATGTCAGTTTGACATGTGCCGTGCTGGAAACTTGGTAGACCCGGTGTCAAAAATGCCCATTCGGAAGAGCATGGTTTTGCTGACCACCTCTAGGAGAATGTATTATCGATTTCATGGCTTGACTTGTCTAGGGAACCATGAGCACCAGCCGATTGAAGGGTCAGTCATGCATGGCCAACACCGAGTCCTGAGAAGCCAGTACACAGAGGTGTATCCTCGCAAGTTTGCCCGTGCCGCTGCTCAGATCATGTGCCACAACAAATTCGAAAGGCCATTGCATTGGAATCTCATTTGGCCTCTCTTGAATGCTGAGCGCAACAGTGCCTGCGAATCAGACGAAGCTCTGGTCACAGAGCCAAAACGATCAGCTGACAAGTTCCCGTAATCCGAGCTGCTGACGCCAGTTCCACTGCAAGAAGCTGATCCCAAACGTAGGAGAGTAGATGGTAAGCAACCTCCAGTCCTCTGCCAAGAACTTGTACAGGAAGTCATAGATCAGGTTGCCAAAGTGTTGCCCAGAGTTGGTAGGATGCAAATCACCAGCCCGAACCTGTTGAGAGGGATCAGCAACATTTTGCCTGACAAGGACATAGTGCAGGTCATTGCATGCCGCGGCACCGACCGAACAGTGGGACCACCAACTGATTTACATAGAGATGAGGCCCCATATCGTAGATCAATAATGTTGATGCGTAACACAGGAGAACTCAAAATTGAACGATATTGGGAAAAATGGAACCAGTTATCACAGAGACAACTTGTTAGACCAGCCCACTCATGTAGAATCAATATCACAGTGTTTGCACGTGACCGCATTCCAGAAAGACGCACAGGAACAAACGAAACACCCGGAGAATCATCCAGCAGCTCACCAAGTCCACAGACAGCCGAAACCGACAGTGGCCCCACTGTGCCTATGGATGACACAGGGAATCAACCAATTGTACAGCCTAGCGAAGTGCGAGCCAGTGACCAATCCGCCCAATTCAAAGCCTTGTCAAGTTGGGATCAAAACATGATCATCCGAATGCATAAGAATCTTGGTCATCCAAGCAATGATCGTCTTTCAACAGCTTTGAAGCAGGCGGGGTATCGTCCTGAACTCGTGCAGGCTGCCAGTGAACTCCAATGCCAGGTCTGTCAATCCAGTGCGATCCCAAAACACCAAAAGCCAGCGACACTGAAGCCCAGCATGGATTTTAACTCAAAGATCTACATTGATAATGTGACATGGACCAGCCAAGCAGGGAAATCATATCACTTTTATCATATGTTGGATGCGGGATCGAATTACCATGTGGCCATAATAGCTCCTGGTGGAACAACAACAAGTGTTGTAAATATCATTCAACAACATTGGATGAGTTGGGCCGGACCCCCAAATGAAATCATGTTTGATGCCGGATCAGAATTCCTTAGCACTGAGTTCACCGAATTCTTGAACAAGTTTGGGATCAAAGATATAGCTGTGCCGCCAGAAGCCCATTGGCAGAACGGAAAAATCGAGAGACATGGGGGTTTTCTGCAAAGTATGTTGTCCAAGGTGGATAAGGAACACCCCATCACTAACTATGAGGAACTTCAGATATCGTTGAATCAATGCACACATGCGAAAAATACTTTGAGCATTCGCCATGGATACAGTCCTGAACTCATAGTATTTGGTAAGCATTCACGATTACCTGGTTCAGTTCTTAGTGATGAGTCCATGCCATCCCATACACAAGCAATTCAAGAAGACGAGAACCTGACACCTCAGAGCTTCAAAAGGCTACTGGCCATCCGAGAGGCCGCGCGCCGGGCATACCATGTGGCCGACAACTGTGACGCTTTGCGTCGTGCCATGTTGAGCAGATCCTGTCCATCCCGAGGAACATACGCTCGTGGTCAACATGTCATGATTTGGAAATCCAATATAGGTGGTAACCCCCAATGGATAGGACCCCATAGGGTTATAATCCAAGATGGTAACCATACCGTATGGACCACCCAAGCCGGAAAGTTGTTTAGAAGGGCCCCGGAACATGTAAGACCTGCGCTGCCTGAAGAAGTCACTTCCTCACCGGAAGAACCATGTGAGTGGTCCACTCTGGAACAACAGATCCAGAGAATGTCCCGGTCAGTGGATGAAATTCCCACAGATTAGCCGCCCATGTCTGAAACTTCCATGCCCAATGCAGGGGATCCTGAAAATCAACCACCAGGAAATGTGTCGATGGCAAGAGAGGTAAGTGTGCCGGAAACAGTACCACAGCCAGATCATGAACCCGAGCATAGCCAAGTAACCCCACCCGAAATCTCATCAGAAGAAGATAGCTCCCTGGAAGTAGTTGGATTGTTTTGTGAGGATGATGATACATATGACGATGTGCTCTATGCCCAAGAAGACACTGCCTGGAGGTGTGAAATAGACATATCGTTAGACCAACCTCTACGGGATCATCAACCTTCTCTTGAAGAGTCATGTGTATTGCTGGCAACCAATGCTAAGAAACAAAGAACGGAAGTCAAACTAAGCACCCTCTCCCCGAGTGAAAAAGCAGAGTTTGAAAAAGCAAAACTAGCTGAAATTCAAAACTGGATTCAGACAGGAACCATCTCAAGGGTATTCAAAGACCAGATTTCCCCCGAACAGATCCTCAGGTGCAGATGGATTTTGACGTGGAAGCCAATAGATAACTCTAATAGTCCCACCGATAATCCCCAGATTCCTATCAAGACGCACAAGGCGAAAGCAAGGTTAGTAGTACTAGGCTACCTGGACCCCAAGATTGAGGAGATCCCTCGCGACTCACCAACGTTGAACAAAACATCAAGGATGCTGATCCTCCAAGTCATTGCAACAATGGGTTACACCCTGCAATCATTTGATATTAAGGCTGCATTCCTTCAGGGGCAACCCCAATCATCGAGACTCATGGCCATAGACCCAGTCCCCGAAATGCGCAAAGTCATGAACTTAGCTCCAAATGAAGTCGCCCGACTCAATAAAGGGGCCTATGGACTTGTTGACGCACCATATCTCTGGTTTTGTGCTTTGCAGGAAGAGCTTCTCAGGTTGGGATTCGAAACATGTCCTTTTGACCCATGTGTTTATATACTCCGGGAAAAGGAGCATGGCAAAAGCACCAACAGAATTGCTGGAATACTAGGAGTCCATGTTGATGATGGCATTGGGGGGGGTAATGACTATTTCAAACAACAGATAGCTGCCCTCGAAAAGAAATACCCATTTGGTTCCAAAAAGACTACTGCTTTCACCTTTACAGGGATTGATTTGCAACAAAGAGGTGACCACAGCATAGTACTAAGTCAATCAGCCTATGTACGGAAAATTCCAGCAATCAACATCGAAACGAACAGAAAGACCATGGACCAAGAGCCGGTCACAGAGAAAGAACGCCTATTGCTCAGAGGCCTGATCGGAAGCTTGCAGTATGCATCGGTAAACACCAGACCTGACATATCAAGCAAGTTGTCAATCCTCCAATCCCAGCTCAATAAGGCCACAGTGGGCACACTTCATGAAGCAAACAAAGTTCTCCATGAAGCCAAGAAACATCACGACGTCCAAGTAACAATTAAACCAATCCCTATGAATGATTTTCGACTAATGGCATTCTCAGATGCATCCTTTGCATCGGTTCACAAACCTGACTCACACTCCGGTGTCATAATCGTAGGAACCCATAAGAAAATTGCCGAAAATTATCAATGTCCTATAAGTCCCATATCCTGGGGTTGCAAGAACATACAGAGAGTAGTGACTAGTACTCTATCCGTTGAAACCACAGCACTTGCATCTTCCTTGGATCAGTTATCATGGATAAGACTGTATTGGGCATGGCTGAAGGATCCTCAAGTATGCTGGAAACAGCCTGACAAGAGCCTGTCAAATCTCGAGCCGGCAATCGCTGTACCAACCTTGCAACATGAGTGTGATCTCGCAATCACCGATTGCAAGAGCCTGTACGACCTTGTAACAAAGACCGCTCCACCCCAGTGCTCTGAATTCAGGGTGCAATTAGTGGCACGAGCCATAAAGGAAACAATCAAGGAAGGCATACAGGTAAGGTGGGTTCACTCAGCCGCTCAACTTGCGGACGCGCTCACAAAGTCTATGGAGTCAAAGTTTTTGAGGGAAACACTGCGGTACGGCGAATACCGACTCGTTGATGAAACATCGACTCTTCGAAACCGTGCACTTTCCAAAGATCGGATCCGATGGTTGAAAGAGCATCAGGAATCAAATGAATGTTCCAAAACCTCAAAAGAATAATTTTTGGGAGTGTAATTTCCACATTTGATTCCAACCATCCGGTCACGGTCATGCCTTGAGGACAACAACAATCCAGACCCTGTCAGGTATCAAAACAACACTGCCTTCGAAAGGCATTTTCGGCTCTGGGAGCTAGGCAGCGGGTGGGAGGGTTTTCTCCATTGCCTTTTAGCCATAGTGGTTGCATAGCAGACAGGGTCTGCAATTGGTGCCATTCCTATCTTGAAAAGGACGAGGCCGTCCCCGGGTTCTTGGTAAGTGGCCTGTGGCCAAAGGCTATTCATAAGACAGTGGATTCCGCTGGACCTTGCAACGAGCTGGGAAAACTGACTGAGTGCTTTGGGAAGCTTGTGGTCAGGGAACAGTTTTGTATACAGCAACATCATTTTGGACATTTTGTCTACTTTACTGATTTTGCTCCTGCCAATCACAACATATGTGTATATATATAATATGTATATATATATATAAGCTATATATATATAGTGGGGAGATTAATATGTGCTTCAGTATGCACAGTGAATTACAGTGATGTGGTGGCCGAACCGGGGATTTGCCGCCAGAAAACTTGGACATTGCCATGAAAAAATCCCATGTTGTAGTGGCCACACAAAAAAGGATGTGAAAATATGAAACTCATGATGTGATACCATCAAACAAATATGACACACATATGTAAAAAAATATGTTTCACAATCATAGAACAAATATGTGAACATTTATCCAGAAAACCTTTGGATGATTCTCATTTTGCTGAAACAAATCAACAACTCCCCAAAAAAACACCAGATCTGAGATTCGGGCTGGCCACCACGAGACGATACTGGCGACGCTGCGATGGCTGATGGGTATGTCGTGGGGATGTATTGGGATATATCAAGCTCCAAAAAAGCTGCGGGTGCTTGTAACATCCGATGTTTTCTTCAAATGAACAAACCCAGATCTATGAAATATATCATCAATTCCCCGATTTTGATGGTTGAACCAGCTATTTTTATGCTACGAATTCATTTGACATAGCTACATGGCCCATTTACAGTTGATCTACCTAGATCTACAGTTCGCTATAAATGGACAATTTTAGCTATGTAGGAAAATCTACTATGTAGATCGACTATAAATGTACAAAAAGGAGATACATAGTTGATTTACCTATAAATCTACCATTTGTGATCAACATCTCCAGAGTTTTTCAGTGGTGAATTTTCCACTTCGCAATCATCTCCAATCGCACCTCCACCTCGAACGCTCGAGCCAAGGCCTGTCGTGGGAAGTCCCTGATCTAGCCATGGAGGTTTCAACTGATCAATTGGAGGTACCTACCGATTCCATCTATTTTTGGCCTATTTCTTAGGCCTATTTTTTAGGGAATATCCCCACAATTCATATGGCCAAAAACCTATTTTTTAGGGAATATCCCCACAATTCATATGGCCAAAAATATGGTACTAACGTACCTCCATGTATTGGATACACTTGTTCAAATTCGAACACCCTGGGTCTCGTGGAAAACCTGACAGAGCAATGTGAAAATCATCGAAGTATGGCCCGGGGGTCCAACACGCCATGGAGATTACCAGAGGGTTTTTTCTCGGGCTATGGCTCAAAAGCCTGTTACATCCTGTTACCCTTTGGTGAACATGAAAATCATTGCTAGTTGTGGATGTTTACCCCGAAAATAAGAGGTTTTGATCCATCTGCATCTATTTATAACGGGATCTTATGGGAAAAACAAACGGGGGTTGGAGATTGAAGGAGAAATTGGTGATATTTTGTCGAGTGGTGGATCAATTCAACTTGCACAAAAAACATCAATGTATCTATAGATAAGATAATATAAGATAGGATAAGATAGGATAAGATAGAATAAAATAAGATAACATAAGATAACATAAGATAAAGATGGGATAAGATTGGAAAAGTTCATAGATCATCTTAGATTAGAATCCGATGTACAGTTTATAGTCGAATCGGACACATCTGTATCATCCTGTCTCCAGAGTTAGGGGATATAGCCCCCATGTCATCATTCCTGTTACCATGGGGTAAACATTACACAAAAAATGTGGAAAACCCCATGGGGGTTCTGACAAATTCTGAAAATCGGAAAAAAACAACTGCACCTCCCAGGCCGCCATAGCCCCTGACGATGGAGAACCGGGTGATTTCACACGTAAAATTTGGCCCATTTACAAACGATTTACCTCTAGAACATGGTGAGAAACTCATAGTTTTGTTAGTTTACGAGAGCTAATTGGTGGTTTCAACCCCTCTGAAAAATATGAAAGTCAGTTGGGATTATTCTTCCCAATATATGGAAAAATAAAACATGTTCCAAACCACCAACCAGAGAGGGTAAAACATCCAGTTGCTTTGCGGATGAGACTTTCATTGCTTCTTTGGTGACTTTGATGTGTAAAAATGACCGGAATTCAGCATGTCTGAGGACTCAGGACGCATCTTGGGGGAATTGAAGTGGGAATTCCAAGGTACCCCTCAATCCACGGGTTGATGAGAATTATCCCTATGAAAATTACCGGAGGGCAACTCCTCGATTGTCAGATGCATTGGTGGATGGGAACTGGCATGTGGATTCAACTTGGCAACATTAGAGCTGCTCAATGTGGCTGATTTGAATATCTCAAGATAGTTCTTGTCCGAGAACACGGAATACTCAGTATACTCCCTGCAATTTCAATAGGGAAACTGTTGTTTTTCGACCACATGTTTTTCAAAGTTGTTGCCTTAAAATCTTCAGACAATTCGACATGAAACAAGAGATGATGATCAGCCAGATCCGGGGGGAAACTCTGAAGTTTGACATCTTGAAACCACCATGGATTCCATGGTTTTCCATTCTATCCAAGAATATTCTAGTATATAACCTCCAGTAAATTGACATAGACCCTACCAGATAGGGGTTGGAAGATGAGTGAAACCACTCAAAATGGGTGATTTTCAGGGTCAACAAGTTAATTTACCAGAGGGTAACCTCATTCTATCCCCATTGAATGACCTCATTTTCCTTATGAAAATCACAAGATCTTCGGAGAGATCTTCCCCCATTTTTCCCAAGTTCCACTCCCTCCGCTACCCTCTGGAAAGCGCCATGGCAACAGCTCCCACTAACTACACATAGCTGTCCGCCGCGGTGATAGGCGGAAAATGTGGACACCAGATTGGCTTTTGGGGTTTTTTGACCATTGGAGGAAGGGATTTAACGACATTGAACTATCAATTGCAGGATTGATCGGGTTTTTTCTTGGGGAGTTATCAAACATAGGGGAACATCATTGATCAATGGAGATGTAATCCATTAATTATAATTATTATCGAACATTTTTCTATAATTTAGATCCATAATTTTATAAGTATCAGACATGTTTCTATGGAGATGTAATGAGGATTCTTTGCTTAACAGATCTTAAAACATCCAGTGGTTCCACAAAACGAAAAAAACTCGATTCGTCCATCCCCTCGTGATTTGGGTAATACAAGCGGAGGATCTTTTAGGGGCACATCTCCACCATGTTTTACACGGGTGTTTCAGGATGTTTTTATGCCAGTTATGCCAGTTTCTTGTGGAAAAAGGTGTCATCAACCGTTGCTTTATGCTGGCTTTTTTTTTCAATAAAACTGGGGGTTTATAGCTGGGAAAATCAGAGGCTTTTCCGGAGCTATAGCTTGGTAATGCCGCCAAGTTGATACGTCCGAGGCCTAGTGATTATTCCCTAGGGTTTATGGGAGTGAGATGAATCATGGTTATATCCATAGTTCATAGGGATTACCCTCTGGTTGTGTCAACAGTTTGCGAACTTGAAAATGGCCCAGTCGAAATAGTGGATTTACCCAGCTAGAAAATGGTGGATCTTTCCATAGTTTTTTGTAAACGTTTGCCAGAGGGTCCATTTTCCATCATTTTCCATCATTTTCCATCATTTTCCATCATTTTCCATCATTTTCCATCATTTTCCATCATTTTCCATCATTTTCCATCATTTTCCATCATTTTCCATCATTTTCCATCATTTTCCTATGGTATATAAACCAACTTATAACTTGAGAGTACCAGCCTGTGTCAAGGTCAACCCCTCCATGGCGCTGATCTTTTTCTGCGTCAACGAGTCGACCAATTCGCATCGACCCTGTGAAGCTTGGGACAACCGGACGGTTTGAATGTCTGAAAATGGAGTATCTCATCATTCTCATCCAGTATCTATTGGTAATATCTATATAATATATATATATATATGTAATATATATATATATTACAAGACTTACTTGTGCTTAGTGGGGGAATTTTCGGGAATGATCCAGCAATCATCACTAGTAATGTCATCATCCCAGCAACCCCCAGCAACCTATCCATTCCCTACGTAAAACGCACCAGTAAGCAGATAGTTTAGCCACCAGAGGGATGTGACTAAGATTGTGTATATATATATAGATATTATAAGATAAGATGGTACAAGAGGCTGATAGGCTGACGTTGATTTATGCTGACCCCTCCTGCTACTGCAATGAGATGGTATATATTGGTATATTGTATATGATATTGTATATCATTATCATATACCAGTATATAGAATATTAGATGATATACACATATTGTATATCATATACCAATCTTATACCAATATCTATTGGTATATGATATATTATAAGATTGTCATACATGATTCTTCTCGAGCAGATGCCAGGTCGCTCCAGGTCGGGTTGCCCGACGGGCCCGGCGAGATCCAGGGCCTGTGAATCTTTGTCGAGATCCGGCTGGTGAATGGCCGGAAATCACGTCATCTACTGTTGATTTTTCTTTGAAATCTTTGGCATAATAACCACATAGAACAGAATCATGGTGATTTTTAGTTAATCATATATATATATAATGTTCAATATTTGTTTGGCCATTAATAATGGTGATTCTTTGCAGATTTATACAATCTGCGGGCTCGACAGTGCAGATTAACCATAGCATGGCCCGTGAGTAGGTGCTGAGGTGCTTTGAGACTTGTTCATATGACTCATCAAGGTTCAAACATGTCACAAATCTGGTGATTAATCAAAAGTTACTGAGGAAAAAAAGTTTTCTGAGCAATTCTGCCAGTTTGAGACTTTGGTTATGATAAAAGAAACGATCCGATTTTCGTGGAACGAAAGGACCTTGATCCCACGATTTTCACCAGCACAGGCTGTGAATTTGCAACTGAGGCTGCAAGCGAAACAAATTGAAACTTGACCCTCGGACCCTCCACTGATTCCAAAGGATGCTCTGTCACATGGAAAAAAACTCACATGACTAGAACGAAGCATTTGATACTTTGTCCGCAGTGACTAGACCCCCGCAACTGTCTGCAACCGGCTCAACCATGGGCTTTGGATTCAAGAAACGTCTTTGAATCTCAGGGAATATCAAGCCAATCCATCAAGTTCTTATCAACGGCCAACTTAAGCTTCGACCGCTGGCTGATTCTTCAGGAATTCACTATCCAGAAAAGTTCGGCCATCTTGGTTTTTTCTTACCCCTACCAACAAGTTCCAGTTATCCTGCTACTAAAAGGTACCTCTTGTGAAGTATTGAATTCATATTCTTGGTTATTCCATTATATTAGATTATATATATATAATTATATACATATAATTATATATATAGTATATATATATACATATAATTCTATATACTATATATATATACGTATATATATCCCTAGCAAATGATCAATGCTTGGTAGCTCTGTCAGATCCGCATCTGCATCGCAACCATCAACGCCCGCTCACACGATGGGCCGCACTGGAGCAGGAGAGCCTGGCGCGGCTAAAGGTGACGTGGCAAGCTGGTGCTGGGGGTCTAAAATGATGGAAAAGATGGTAGGATCACTGCAGTTGGGGAACATGGTAGGAAAATGGTAGGAACATGGTGAACAATGAGGTCAACATTGGGAAAATCGGCAACAAATGGTCCTGAAAAGCCCGGATGTATCCCCATCTTAAAGACGTATGTGCAGTAGATGGTATATCTATATTGTATAAAAGACAGTATATAGTCAAAATTCTGATAGTAACAAGACCATTCTGGCTGTGTTCAGTCTCGAACAAGCTTTGATGTTTTCCAAAAAAATGCTTGGGGTGGAAACAACTTTTGTGACCTGCTGGTGAAATGGCCCCCCCCACAATGGCATCTACGACGGATACTTTTATCTCGGCAAAAGAAATGGAAACCATCCAATTCTGGGAAAACAGATGAGAACACGTCTGTCTTGTTCACAAGAACATCAAAAAGACAGCAGCACCAGACCATTCTTCGCAAATAGATCGTACATTCTTCGGAGATGCATCCCAAGAATCGGAAATGGCTCAGGCTGTAACTAACCACGGGAGAAAAAAAAACACCATTTACAAGTGGATACTTACGTGGCATACGTTTCCTCCAAGTGTTGATGGCTCAACTCACCACTTTGCTACTGGAAACTGCTGGTTTTTTTATTAACCAGGACTGGTTGGTGGTTGACCTACCCCTCTGAAAAATATGAGATTATTAGTCAGATTGGATCATCCCAACTCTTGGGGAAAATAAAACATGTTCCAAACCACCAACCAGAGGAGTTGTCTCTGAAATTCTGGCCATCAGATTTCATCATTTCCCTCTCCAAATGGCCTTGTTGCTGAGGAGGAGGGTCTTCTTCGGCTTGCCTGGGAGAATCAGATTCCGTGCTGAATTGGAACGTTCATGGATCGTATACATGGTAGTATACCCGGCCCGGTCAACGTTGACATAACGAACTGGAAAGATCCACCATCTTTCATGGGAAAATCAACTATTTCGACTGGGCCATGTTCAAGTTCGCAAACTGTAAACGTTTACCAGAGGGTATAGCTCCTAAGAAAATCGAACCAACAACCAACAAAGTATCATACTGTTGGTCCCATTGCATCTCACTAGAACCCCCATTATCTCTGATTGAAACGGTAGTAATAATCAACTAATCAATGTTAAAATCCAATAAAACCTATAATTTATGCCTAAAACCCACTGAAATCCTATTGATGGTGTACACCCAGTAAACTCGAATTAAATCGTGGTTGCTGAAAGTACTCAATTTAGATGGCAACTGCACTGACCCAGGAGCCATTCTGATCTCTGCCCAGCCTGCGGAAGTTGTCTCGCCTTAGATCACGCCGAAATCCCGTGGCATGGTGGAACGATGTGTGTTTTGTTAATGGAAATAGATGGACAACTATGAACATATCTACCCTCTGGTTACCACTAACATAGCCATGGTATAGATGGCACATAGAAATAGATGGTTTACCGTTCTTAAAAATGGGTGGATCTTTCCATGGCAAACTGTTAGTCATAACCGGATGATATATCCCATGAGATCCCATAAAAAAATCACCATTTTGAATAGGTAAACCATCTATATCCCAGATGATATATTTTATTACCTGCGGAGATCCACGAAAGTCTCGAAGATTTGCGAACCATGGGAGATGAGAACGTTCAATCCAAATCTGGAGATCTCCCAATCTGGGAGATACCCTCTGGTTATGACTAACAGTTCGCCATGGTATAGATGGCACATAGAAATAGATGATTTTCCCAGCGTTTGGAAGCTCCATTTATTTTGGGGATTTTAACCATGGCGAACTGTTAGTCATAACCAGATGGTATATCCTATTAATATCCCATGATTTCCCATTATAAAGTCTATATTCCCAACAATCCATCTGTACATATCTATATTTTATTTCTGGAAAATATTTGGGGCATATCTCAAAAAATGATCATATCTCATCATCTGGAAAATATTAGGATCCACCAAGTTTTAAGAACGGTAAACCATCTATTTCTATGGGCCATGGCTTACCATGGCTATGTCAGTCATAACCAGAGGGTATTTCTCTCCCAGAATCCCGGCGGCACATCAGTACCTAGTGGCTTCTCCAACATCAGGGCCGCCGCATGTCTCATGTAGTCCACCAGAGCCTCCAGCACGCAGAAACGCACGCAGAAACGCAGAATATCCAACTGGATTTGAAAAAAGATTGGAACTGAAGAACAATTATATATATATACACCCACATATGTATGTATATATATATACACCCATATG